ATTACAGTCTTTCTCCAAAGTATAGTAAAACAGGATGAAACGTTAAGAAATTTTTTATATTCTCTTCTTTTTTTAAGGTAAATCTACGTATGTAATGACTGTATGCTTTAAATTTTTTATAAGAATTCTCTTTGTAAAGAAAAGAGCAGGATGAAACGCCTACTAATAAAAAATAACACCGAGGAAAAACTAACGAAACTGTCAAGGTCAAAGGATTGATTTCTGGAATTGATATATTAGGGTGATTTGTTTATCGAGTAAAATAGAAATCAATTCCCATTCCCAATGCAATCGTAGAGTTAAACTTTTTGCAAACTAGATATTCTGATAAAAGACATACACAATCATAGATACAGAAATAGACGGAGAATTTTCTCTTTCTTTCATTATAAATGATAGCTTTAAATAGCTTGATAATTTTTACAATAATAAATATTAAATTTATACAGATAAATCGACAAATTTACCTATGGCATTAATTGATGATGGTACCAATTCCAGTCTTAATATAGCGTAATTCTTTTTTATTTCTATTCTTTTACAACCATAACAACTATTACATTCAGTCGATCGACGCAATTTTTTTAGATGCTGGCCCTCTGGAAAAGCTTTAGACAACAACTGTGTACACGTTAAAAGGGAGTGGCTGATAGGTTTGTGCAGTTCATTAGGAGGAATTTTGTTAATCCTTTTAACTATAACTTCTGTGTGGTTGTTTTGCATTAAGAGAGAAACTACTCATGAAAAGAAAAGGTATACTTAATGTTAATGTTTATCATTAATTAACATTTTCTGATTCGGGGTAATTCTTAGGGAAAATCTATGTTTCCTTGTCTACATCTGCAGCAAATCAAACGTGATTTTAAGAAAATACACACGATTAATTATCATTATTAATATTTAAAGTTTCAAATATTTAATTAAGTACTTAAGTCTATGTGTACCAAGCTCATTAAACAATACTTTTCTTGATCATCTATATTGATTGTTATATCCAGATTGGGTATAGTTTTACCTCACTAGTTAATCTGGTTTGCAAACCATTGTTGTTCTTAAAATTTGGGATAATTGTAAAACTACTAATCTATATTTAATGCCATCTATTTTAGCCAAAATGTAAGAAGTAAAAGAACAGACAACAATGACAATTTAGTAAGTAAAAGATTGCATTCTAAATAGTCATCAGACAGATTTGAAACAAACATCATTTTATAGCAAATTTATTTACTTTAGCAAATTTATGCAACGCCATCTCCCTTTCACGAGGAAAATGAATACAATTTTGCTAAAATTGTGTCTTCTCCCATCTATAAGAACTTTCGAGCAAGACTATCAACAGTTGAAACTAACGAAAGCGTTTGTAGCACATTTTCTTTTATGTCTTAATTGTTGAACATCAATTAAATATCGACGTTTCTAGCATCAAAGTCAAGTAAAATTAGGCCTAAAAGAGTAGTAATAATCACTTTAAAGTTTCTGCTATGTAAATCTGTACATACTCATACACTATATAAATAATATACTTTAATAATAAGACAAAAACGGTAGGCTTAACATACGCTTGATGTATGTGACTTTAATATATTTTTCCCATATCAAAACCTTAAAATCAAGACAGTGTATAATCTACACTATCCGAACTCTTTATTTAAATACATATAAACTAAAAACTGTTCTTACAAAGGGCAGGGATTACATAGAATTTTCATTTTCATTTATCTTAGATAATCTTAATTAAACTGGACAAAACAGCAAAAGAATCTTTGAAGTTTAAGACTAACTAATTTGAAAAGTCTTTATAGGAGAAACAAGTTACAGTTTTGTAAAAGTAGTTAACAGTGCAATATCTAACAAATTAGCTAATAGAGACTTTCTTTAAGAAGAAAACACTTTTCGGACGGAAACCATCCACAAATTTATTATAAAAGAATAATAGCAGTAGTGAAATTTTACAAAGGAATTCCATACCATTTAAGGACAATAACATTGATAAAATGTTATTTTTCTTTAAGAGGCTTCAAATTAACTTAAGAAGAAAAAATGAGGATACTTTTAAAAAATCCAAGTACAACTATAGAAGAGAAATGATGCTATAGAATGATAATAATAATGTCAAATATTAACATAAACAATAAGTTATTTAAGAATAGTAGGATAATTAAGATGTTAGGAGACTTGACTCCTAAAAGACTTGATTCTAATTTTACTAAGTGCCAGTAGACACTATAAAAGTGTAAATTAAAAAAAAGTACTTTTACAGGAAATTGAAGTAATAGAAAGAAAAATTATTAAGGAAAAGAGTTCATGACAAGAACTGCCTTGTTGATTTATTTCAAATGCTTATATTAAACAATACTAATAATTATGTTTATTATACAAGATCAATAATATATATTTTCTGCCTAAACGTATTAAATCTCATTTCCCAATGAAGTAAACTATAGCTTTTACTTTCTGTATTTAGGCTTAACGTCTTCAAGAAAGAGAATTAGGACAAGTCAAATAAATATCATAAAAGCTTGCTGAATTAGTTCTGACATTTGTACCATTATACTATGTAGAACGTTACGTTAATATAAGTACGGAAATAGTATATGTATGCATAATTATATATATTAGTATATTATAAAATCGATTTCGCAAAAATTTCATTGTTCTCTTTCGTTAGAATTAAATAACGATTAATACGTGAAAACGTATAGATAACTATAAATGTTCATCAGGAAGAAAAGGAAATATAATCTATTCTTCACAGATAAGAAAGCTAAAATAAATATATTATTACAAAGATGCAAAACCCTTATAACATAGCCTTCACTAAAACAAGTGCTATACTGAAAAGAGACGTTTCTATCTTTCTTTAAAAGGTAAAAAAGAATGAAATATTTTCAGGTTAATTCAGTAAATCCTGTTTATATATTTAATATGATATTGTATATTTTTTAAGAGATTTGAAGATATGCTTAGACTTTAGGATAAGGGAATTTCATATTTTTAAATACTTTCATTCCGAAGATTTGATATGGAAAATTTAATATTTATACAACTATATAAACCTTTAAGATAAAGTAAAGCTTTTACCTACAAATCGTTCCTTTCTGCTTTAGTTTCTTGACATTAAATGAACATAGTAGAGTATTTATGAGAAAAGAAACCTAATTAGTGTAATTGCACATTATTATTTACCGTTCATTTCAAATTTACAGTAGCAAAGTGTTAATTGATCTTTGAAAGAGAGATCTAATTAAATTAACTCGGGAAATATTGCTTTTAATCATTTCACATTTACTATTTAATTTTTCAACAGAATTAAATCACAAATATAGAGAAATAACTCTGATTAGAATCTAAAAGATATATATATATAAGTATAAAGTTCTTTGCCTATTATGTTAGACACTTAAAAATGTAGCCTACTTTCTGTCATTTCTAGATGGAAGTAGTGACAGTGTGTAATATTAAATTATTTAGACTAATTCTATTCCTATTCTCATATTAAAATATCTTTCAAAGTGAAAAAAGCTATGTTTGATAGAATCAAATTTCACCTTTTTAGACAATCCATAATAAATATACATCATTAAATTTCATCTCAAGAGGCAAATACCAGGTCCTAAGGTTATCGATTTTGTCAAATTACTTTATTTCCGGTAACTGTCTAATGGTCTAAAACTATTGGTCTATGCTATTTTATTCAGGATATGTCAAATATAACATTAGTTAAAAGTTATTTTTTAATCGCAATTGTTTTAAAGAAAGATCTAAAAATAATTTCAATGGCATTCATAGCTTGATTACACAAAGTTACAAAGAGCATTAAAAAAACTACATAACTAATATACTATCTATGTTATAATGAGTATACTTAATGAATTTACAATTAATTTTATCATTACACATTCTATACAATTGTTAAAGAATAACAACATATTCCATTTCATTTTTCGTATATATTAGTTATATGATAGAATTTAATGAATATTCATGTTTATATTAACTGGAAAAATGTATTAAATAAATTTAAAATGATCTTAATTATCTCTGAGTGATAATATTTTAAGGAAGATAGAAAATTCTAGTCAGAAATTACATTAATTCTATCAAGAAATATGTCTGATCGTCTCAAGTTCCCATTTGCTATTTTTTTTTTACAAGAAAAATAGGTTGTTGCGTGGGTGGTTTTTGCGGCGTAGATGCTAAAAGTTTACTACGTGACTAATAAATAGAGTTTTTAATATATATTTTATAATTCTGTAGATAATTTTACAGTAATTGTTAGATGAACAAGATAGCTTTTCCATATTCCTTTTTGTTCCTTTATATACTTCTTTTATCATTTATTTTTTTGTATTATATTGGAAATTCATTCACTTTAGTTCCGGTTAGAACGACCAGTTTTACAAGATCACAATCAAGATAAACATCAACACCTCGACAAGACGGCAAGTACAAGTGTATTAATCTTTGTAGAGAAGTGGCAAGCTCTTTTTAAATTCAAATTACATTGTTTTTTTCTACAATTCGCTAATTCATCTGTACTCGCTGTAATTTATCTTCCTTTCTTTTAAAGGAATCTCCCGCTAATAGTACTGAAAATGGAAATGAGTCGGTATCTGAAAATCAATCAATAAAGGTAGTAGGATTGACGTCTGATGGACAAGTTCCTGATCCAGATTACAATAATACAAGTAACGTTCAAAAGAAGTCTTTTACACGCTACGAGTCAAATTCAACAATTAACAATTTAGTCTATTATTAATAATAAATAAGTGGAAATATTATCCAGATATCAATATGTTTTATTTATTTAATGTAGAAAAAGTTAGCTGTCCAGTCTATTTCTTTAATATAAATATAAAAATACTCATGTTGAAAATAGAAGAATAGCAATTTTTTATTTACATTTTGCTAATTAATATTACCGTTATATCACTTTGTCAATTTTAAAATTGTAACATTACCTTTATTACTATATAATCAGTCTTTGTTTTTAAATGAAAAATGAATTCTGCATGTTTATTTGATCTTCCGTTAAGCGTACAGAGGATAGGTCACTCATGTACAATCGTGGGCGATATTATAGTCATTATTGGAGGTTTGCGTGGAAGGGTAAGATATTATTTTAGGTTAATTAATTGCTATAATCCTTTCCCGCATTTCCTTTGCATTTATAAACGGTATTATAACTTTTATTACTATTAATTCTGTTATATATTTATTCAAAAAGGATTCGAAATATTCAGAAATATCATTTCCAGCAACAAACCTTTTCCTTTATCACATCGGTTTAAAGAAATGGTATACTTATGTTATTTAATTCAATTCTTAATTGAAAATTTAAATTAAAATGATAAAAACGACGATAAGCTTATGAACTGTTTAGTTAATCCATATTAGTTTTAATAAAAAAGCTCGAAATAGATTTCTCTATCAGCTATTACCTTTAACTAATTTTACATATTTCTGTAAAGAGAAGAGGGAATGACTGAATGATTAATTTTCTTTTAGCTTGGATATTCTACCATCTGCTGCCCACGAGCCTGTAAAATACCTATCTAATGGATCTTCCTTGGTCTATTGTGATAAGCGCTTTATAGCTTGTGGAGGATTAGGGAATGAGTACATGAACATATCTACTTTAGGTCCAGATAAATATTCTGGATGGCTAGAAATACAGCCAAAGTATAATAGAAAGCCGATTGAAAGAAATAAACATTCGGCTTGGCTATTTAAGAATAAGTCAGTATAGTTAATAGCTAATTAAGAAAATGACTTTCTTACTTCGAATACAAATCTTTTAGATTTTACGTTTGGGGATGCTTTGGAAAACGTCTTGATTCTAGAAACAGTTTGTACTGCGATTCGAATGTTAGCTCGAACGTTTCCTATAAGGATAATAGAGAACTAGTTTGTTTTGAGGATCAAGTATTAGCCTTCAATTTCGAAAATAAAATATGGGAAAAAGTAAATACTTATGGTAATATACCATGCCCTAGAGCTGGACAGGCTGCTGTTTTAGTTAAAAATGATTTATTTATGTTTGGAGGAAGATCAAAGCAAAGAAGAATGAACGATATGCATAAATTAAACATGCTTACCATGAGATGGAGTGTCTTGTTTAACGATTCAGAAAAGAAAAGTAAACCAACCGGCAGATCATTTCATACGCTGTCTTATTTTCAAAAATCTAATTTTCTTTTTCTTTACGGTGGCCTATCTTTCGAAGGGATACCACTGGGTAATTGTTTTTTGTTCACTTACGTCTCCTATAAGAACTAATCTAGAGTTTTCAGCTGACGAGTGGATCCTTAAACTTGATTCTCTAGACTGGTTCTGTATCTCTAAAAATGCTTGTAGGCCAAGGCTATGGCATGTAACTTTGCCAACTTTGGATAGTATGGCTATAACAATAGGTGGTGTGAGCAATAATGCACAAAATATCGGACTTAGCGACGTAAGTCGTCTACACTCAATTTATATAATTATAAAAAATTTCATTAGCATGTTTTATTTCTGTAGTACCCTTACCCTATAAAGGAGCACAGATTTGGTCCAAGTTCCCTCTATAGGTAACAATATAGTTGTTAGATAGAAATACGGATTAAGATGATCTTACAGCAGATAATCCTATTTAAAGCGATTTTTATCAAACGTTGACTCAGAGTCTCTCGTATTTTAGTTAATAATTTAATCACCAAACTGCATATATATAAGTAATTTTATTTTTCAATAGAATCTGCTTCAAAATTGTCTATAAAGGAAAATCACAATGGAATCTACTACCACAATCTATAAAACAGGAATTGCATAATTGGTTTATATTTGATCAAATGAGCGAGCTAAGAATAATTCATGGCAATGAAAATTTACAACAAATTTTCAAATGATAAGAAATTAAAATCTTTTATTTTTTTTATATCATCTTTAATCATTCTAAAATGTCATATTTTAAAAAAGAATATACAAATCAATACAGGAAATTATATACACTGTAACTATATCACTATACATATACACGTAAATATGGCATAGGAGCAAATCAGACATGTAAGCAAATGGCATCTTAGAGCTGTTATTAAAAGATTATGTTGATTATCAACGCCCTAATGTTGGTAAACCTGTAAAAATTACTGATAATATTTCTAAAAGGCTCTAAACATTTTGATATATGAATATTCCAGTTTTATCTATTAGGTTGTTAAAAAATAAATTAGTTTTCATATCTCCAATCTAATAGAGAATCCATCCAATCAATTGTTATTTCCTGATTCTGCATTATTCTATATTTTTCTTCTAATATAGATAGGGAAGTAATCCGTATTATCTTTGTCCTTTTCAACTGTAATAGACAAACTGATTCAGAGTTTACTCTACAAGTAACTACTATTAAAATCATCTGCGTATCTCTTTTCATAACTTTCACATTGAGAGATAGCGTCCTGTAAAGAAGGATATAAAAGTTGCTTAAAATCCATAATGTTTTCAACAGCATACAAGATATTTTGATTTATACAGCAAAAATATAATTCTATTTTACTATCTTTACAAATTCCTCTGATAGACTTTAAGCAGCCAATTCCTGATATATCTATATTAGTTATTCCAGCACTGTTTATAATCAGATACTTTTTCTCCATTTCCGTTACGTAATTTTCCATATCGTAAATTACACTCTTTACTTCTTTTAGTATCTTTTCAGCGTTAATGAATAAAATTGGGGAATTTACTTGAATGATTCGCATTGATGTACAACTTTTTTGTATACAGTTAACTTTGGTGTCAAGAAGAATATCAGGTCCAATTGCTATTGTCAGGTTGCTGACGGAGCTCATAAAATGCTGTAGCAGAACTGTTAAGGTACTACTAGAAATTCCTATTATTAGACCGTAAGGAAGACTAAGGAAAACTGAGGTTAAAAAAGCTATTAACCAGTTAAAACAGTCTAACATGCTTAATTCAAACCAATCATAGATATCTTTAAACTGAAGTAGTAGTGGTAGGATTGCCACTATAACTATGGCAGCCAGACAGCTCTTGGTTAACGAAGCGAATAAAGGAGATAACCATAACATTGTTAAAAGTACGATAACAGCTGATACTAAACTACTTATTTGTGATCTACCATAAGAGAAATTTAACATGGATCTGGGCGGTGCTGCTGCTCCTGCAAAACTAAAGAAAAATGATCCAATTATATGGATTAAACCCAAAGAAAACAGCTCTTGATTAGCATCAACTTTGCTGGACGACTTCTCACAAAAGAGCTTTGCTACAGATATAGATACTATAAAACTTATTAACGCTATCAAAACAGCATCTGGTATAATATCTTTCATGATTCTTAATGAAGGTGCTTCAGGTCTTGGTATTCCTTTTGGAATGTCTCCAATTATACTTACAGAATATTTCGAATTAAAATTGATTTTGTAACTTATTCCTGTACAAACTGCCATAACAATTAGCTCCGCTGGAAGAGGAGGGCATTTCTTAAATCTTTTCTTTATTCGAGGAGTGATAACTTGTTTAATAAACATAAGAACAAAAAAACAAGCTGAACCTATTAAAAAGTCAGCAAGATTTGTTTTTTTAATGTTCTTGAAAATCTCATAATATGTCATTGGAATCTTAAATAATCCATCATGTCTTTTAATTTCGATTCCAAGAAAAGATTTAATTTGAGAAGTTATAATATGGACTGCAGCAGCCGTAGTAAAGCCTCTAATTAGTGGTTTCGACATGAAATTTGTTATAAATCCTCCTCTTAAAAGGCATAGTACCACTTGAACAATGCCGACAACGCATGTAACACCCATTGCTATTTGAACTTTTGCACAATTTAACTCACTTTCTAAGGTTGCCGAATTATTCGATGCTGTTCAAATTGTAAGTAGATGAAGTTCCAATTTTAACTTAGGGTTCTATTTAATAAAAAATACCTTGATAGCGTATAAAAACATCGGAATCTTCGATTTTTCTATCAACAACTGAACCTAACATAATACTTATTAAAGCCATAGTACCCATTGATACATATTTGGAGGAACCAAAAAAGAAGTAAATTAGTAATGGATAAAAGGAAGAATATAAGCCATAAATAGCTGGAACTGATGTCAAAAGGGCAAAACCCAAACCTTGTGAAATGTGCACAGTACCGATATTTAAACCAGCAATTATATCCATTATTAAGTCTGACTTCAAAGAATATCCACGTAGTAGATATATGAAAGGAAAGAAAGATAAAGTTTTATCAATAGCCTTTCCTCTACTGCAACAACATTGCTTTTTTGTATAATCAACGATCTCTTGGAATTTTTTCTTTCTCTCTATTCTGGGATAGGATTCCTCTAAGTGCTGCAGTGTTTCAATGTCTCGATTGACTATTACTCTTTGACCTTGCATCGTGTTACGAACTTGAGAGTCTTCCCTAAGAATACGTTCGCTCTGTTCTAGAAGTGAATTTTAATGTTCATATAATAACACAGCGCGTCAATCAGAGAATCTATTAGGTTCAACATTCAGGTCTATTTGCTATAGGAGAAATATCAATCGATTTGAACTATTATTAGCATTAAGATCGATATCTTGTCTAATACAGAATATATAATGAACATAAGAATCGATTAAGATAATTGAGATTAAACGATATAAAAACTTTACATTTAATTTATTAATTTTAAAAACTTTCACCCCTACGTATTAAAAAGTAAACTAGAGATTTTGTAAAGTACTACATCTATATTGGTACTCAACTTTTAGAAATTTTACCTAAGTACTCAATATTTAATGAGCTATTAAACTGTAAAATGTCTTTATGCTGCAATAGGATATTCCACTCGTATGTACCTTCCACCCTTTTGGCATCCATTACTTACACTTTAACTTTCTTTTATATTTTTTGATGATTCATATCACCTAAATACTATTTATAGATAGTGATGCCTATAGTTCAGCTTTATAAAAAATGAAATTATTAAACTTAAAATGCCTTTTGTCTATTTACATAAATGTCGGTTTTTTTAATGATTTTTCCATCATCTATTTATAGAAGAGTAAGAATTAAACTGCTATTGTTGCTTTTTAGCTAAAAAAAACTGTCGTCGTACTTCACTACACGAAATGGAGTATAAGTAATATAAAGCGCCATCTTTAATCTAAATGAATGAACTATTTTCAGTTGGTGTTGTATATTCTAATTTATATTTTTCTTTTTTGATAAAAGAGATAGCAATTGAGAACATTATTCTATTTAACGTAAAACATGGAGAAGTCTATTCAGATTCTAACTAAACTGATACTATATAATTTACATTTACTATTTTAATAGTATTACTTTTATTATCACAGATGTAATGTTTAAAACAAAAAAAAAGTTATAAGAAAGAAACAGAAACAAGATTTAAGACTTTTTTCTAAAAATAGATATAACACAAAATTTACCCATCATCTTCGTGATGAATGATAATCATTAATTATAACTATATATATATAGTACATCTATGAAAAATTGCAAAATACCGCTCCGTCGATTCTTCTTTCTATTTATAAACACAGTTTAACTGTATAAAAGTAATCTATAAGACAGTTTTAAGGCCTCTGATAGAAAATAAATTAATTCTTACCAAGACACCATTATCTGTTATCTTTTTTAAGTTTTAAATTCATTTTACACGGCCACTTTATAGCTTCTATATACAGTAGAAAGTATATATATATACAGTACTATTAATATATACAAATATATACTGTAAATTAATATATAATATATTAATCTCCCTTCTATTATTAATAAGCATACCTGACATAGTATAAGCTTTCTGTTGTTGATCTATCAGTCTTAAACAAGTATGTATTTCGAGGAGAGAAAAAACGATAACAGAAATGCAAATGCTTTGATGTCCTTATTTCGTTAAAAAAGACTATCAGATTAGAGTAAGTTGTATTTTTTATAGCTTAACTTTTCGATTCAAAAAGTATTAACTTAGGTCTGAAACAATATTAGATTTTCCATTTTACTAAGTATTTGCCTTATTTTCTAAGAAAAATGTTAAAAAGAGAAATGGGTAGAGAGGAGATAGAAAGAGAGAAAGAGAAGAAAGAAATCCAGAATGAAAGATACGGGTAAATTGAAGAATTAAAGAATTAAAGATTGAAAATATTTATATAATAGGTACATAGTGAGATTGCATAGCAACTCTAGTCATTTTATACATTAATGATAGGTAAAGCGGTAGTAAATCATTGTGTCAAATATTCTGCACTATCCAATATATAAATATACTTTTCTCTCAATAGAATATTCTTTGTAAAAGTTACTTATATTCATAATACCTTGATCTTATGACACATATAAATATGATAAAACAGAACTGTTGATGTATTGACAATATTCAATATACTAATCATTTATGATGGTTCGTCACAGTCTATTAGTTACTTTGTGTCTCTTATTAAGAACTTAATTTTAATGTTTCGATGGGAAATATTAAATATAGCTATTTTTGTTGCAATCAAAGCAAAAATATGAAAAAGATATAATACTATAAAAAGGAATAATACTATATGCGTAAACGAAAAAACTGAATTATTTATCCATTCTACATATCTTTTTTGTAAAGTTATGAAGAACTAAGAAGATAGTATTGAGTCTCTTCATTTATGTACAAAAGAAAATGTAAAGATGGTTAAAATAGAGGTCGAGAAACAGGAAAAAAGTTGGGATGGGGAAGGGTCTTTTGCTTGAAATTATAATAGAACATTTAGAATAAGTTTATTGTACAGCGTACAGAAATTATCAAACAAGATCCTATATCTAAAATATTCTTCTTTTAATATATTATAAATAATTCATACAATGCTGAGACTTGTATTCCTTTTGTTTGTTTGTACGAATTGGCCAACACATTCAAAAAAATAACTTTCTAAAAATATATTTTAGGTTATAAATCGATTAAAAATATTACAGAAAACTTCTTTTTTTGTTCTACTTGTGAAAGTTAAAGCCAATTTGTGTGAAGATATCTATATATATTTTATCTTTCCGGTGGGCAGGCTTTCCAAATGCAAAGTCCTACAGTGATTATATGGAAAAGAAAAGATACTATAGATATTTTAATGCCTCTAAATTGTAAATCATAATTCATACCTAAATCATACATACGTTTCTGAGATGCTTTCTTTAAATTTCGTTTTAGAATTAAACCTAGAAGATCCATTTTTTTCTTGAGGGTTTCTGAGTAACCTTTCCAAGGTGAGTTCCCAATCATATCCTGAGCATCCCTTAGAATAACCTGAAATGAGATAATTATATGTACTGTATAAGATTTCTTTTAAATTTTTCAAATGATTTACAATTGTATAATGTGTATTAAATTGTTACGTAAATAATTTGTTAGGTTATTATTTATTATATAAAAACTAACATCAGTTATAAATAGCATTTATTTATATTCTTTATATTCTTTAAGATTTCCTTCTTTAAGAAATAGTCCTATATATATATTTGAGCAACTAATTACTCGATTTTTCATTTTTCACGTATACGTTCACGTATACAAATATGTATCTAATTCATATCTTGTCTCTTCGTGACTTATTATTTTCATTTCCTTTGTTATTGTTATTATCTTAGAACATGTTATTGAGTAATTGTTACTATTTTGTCAATTAAAATATAATATAATAATTTATATAGTCCAGTTAGTCCAGTTGTTCTATTTCTCTCTCTCTCTCTCTCTCTCTCTCTCTCTCTTTTCTTTCTAAAGATATACATTATATACATAAATGCCGAAAATTTATTTGACTTTTTCAATATTCCACAAACTAATAATTTTAAACAAATTCCAAGATTAACTTACTTTATTCTCATTCAATTGTGAATCATTGTCGCCATTTCTTATTTTAAGTAAACGACTTATATAATCTTTATCGAAAGTGGACCCATAAACATTGCAGTTTATTACAATAATAAATAACAGTATGAGTATATAGAACTTCATAACTATCTTCCTTACAGAAGTGTTAGTACTACTTTCAGGAAGACAAAACTGTTTATATACATCAAAAAGATTATGAAATGTTAATTTATTTATGTTTATCTTTACCAATGACAGCCCAGTGCGTGGTAGAGATGCTAAGTGCTTCCTTTATCCCACTTCTTTCAATCTATCTATATCAACAAATATATATATATACATATTATATATATATGAATATTTTTTCTCCGAATATCTTCCTGATGTTAGCAGTGTATACTTTTAAAGGAGTGGTTTAATATTAATATTCTGTTTTAAAAGAGTTCTTGGACCATCTTTAGCAGGAAAAATAAACTTAAATAAAAGATCAAAACAATTAATGAGCTTTAACAAATTAATAATTCAGTAGCAAGAATAATTTGAGTTCTATAAATAAAGTTTCTCTCCGTCAAAAGAATTGTAAAAACAAATTTCCGTGGTTAATTGAAATTATCGTTGAATATGTCAGAATTCAGAATTTGCATTCACTTCTCTTTTCATACAATGGTTAAGATAACATTAATAAGATAAATGCTACATTTAAAAGAAATAGTAATGTACTTACCGTTAATATACTATATATACAAGTATATAGTATTGATTTTGATATCTCAATCAATTATAAATAGTTTTAAACTTTGTCCTAACTATACGAACATGACTACAAACTCGCCTACCAAACGATCAAATTAGAACAGAAAATACAATAATGTACTAATCTAATAGACGAATTTCTATGAATAGAATAAGCTCACAAGTAAATCTTTTATAGGAAAGAATGACAATTTTAGATTTGATTTGATGAAAACAATAAAGAATTCTTTAACTTGAAAAAGTAACTTCTATATTTGGTGTGTGTTAATGTTGAAAAAACTTGACAATAATAAATTTTACTGTTTTATAATATACTCATTATAATGAAAAAATTCGCAAATTAGAGGCACAGAAGTAGGACAATAAGTTCGTTCTTTATTCTCACGAATTCTTTTCCTAAAATATCCTAAATAATATATATATATATATATATATATATATATAGAGAGAGAGAGAGAAAGAGAGAATGTATAAATTATATACTAAAACTTGGTAATGTTTAAAAGATATGTAGCCTGATTTCGTGATATTAACGAAAGTATAATAATAATAATTGTCTACTGTATTTATCGTATAATGAAATATGCGTTAACTTGTATTTTTAAAGAACTTTAGTTACAGTATTATTAGCTGAATATTTCATTTATAATACATTTTACTACAATTGAAAACTAAATTTCATAATTATCCGATTATTTTTCTTTTTTTCAATTAAAGTAATCAACCAATCGTCGTATCTTACATTAACGCCTATCTTCATAATAAATATTTATCATAAAAAAGAGAAAAGAAGAGAGAAAGAGAGAAAAGAGATAAACTATATTTTCATATTTTTCATACAATAAGATTAATAAGGCAATGACAAAAAAATATGAACTATACAAATCGCTGGTAGGGATTATTTTTAAAAAAGAATTCTATAAATAAATAACCAATATTTAACCATTTCATTTGAAAAGGTATTAAAGATTATTGTTAAAAGTCATTACCGTGAAATTATTCAGCAAATTTAAAATCGATTGTCTCAAAAATTTGTTCTCAGGGTGTCTACGCTTAGATATACTTTTTTTTTTATAAATAATTCATCATTTACACAAATTCAAGACAATAAATTAATGTAAAAAACCATAAGAAGACACAATATATTCCAAAGTTTATTTATAAACATGTCTACAGTTTATGCTAAGTATGAGCAAAGAGTTTTCAATTGGAGAATATAGCTTACTATAATAGATATATGTAAAAGCAAATTTGGTACCTTTTTTTGGGAAGCAAATAATTGGTTTTCCGCAATTTTTGCTGACATGTTACTTAAGAATTACTTGTAATTGACAAGATATTTTTATGCCATACCGCCGAAAACTTCTAACAACTCAACTACTAGAATATTCTGATTAAATATTCCATGCTAAATTGCATACTTTTGGAGTGAAGAAACGTGGAAAATTTATGAACAATCATTTGAAACTTGGAGTTATGATATGCATATTTATATCTAAGTATATCTATTTATATGTCCATAGTATTTAAACTATCAAGCTATTTTTAAAATCTATGCTATTTACAGAATTCTACATTTACTAAAGACTTCATTAAATTCTTTTGCTCGAAAGGAACTTTGCAATATCTAATTTAGGACTCTTCTTTTATAAAGTTTTGATAGATAAAAGTGTTATCTAAACATTTTAAGAACGTTAGTATGTTATTGGCAATAGGCTCCTGTCATGTATTTTAGTCAACAAGTACTATGTGATCTAGTGATATATACATTTAGTCATCAGGTAATATTATTAGAAGGAGAATTTTATTGTAAATGGTACAGTATTCATAAATTTAACTTAGAATAATGTCACCTTTCCAGATACAATTAAATTAATTCAAAAGGTTTGATTTTAACTTAACACTATCTCAAACAAGAGAAAACAATTCTCTTTAAAGATTACTCTTAAAGTGGAATTATTGTGCATCAGAGGAGGGTTTTCTTCAAAAAACAAACTGCTAGAGCACTACTAAAACTAAAAATGAAGGCGAACACTAGATTCATACTGTAAGGGCCAACTATTTTCTTTCAATTCATGCTCTTAAAGGTGACAGCTATAATTTAGAGCATAGTTCAGTTACCAACTAGATAATCCTATTATTCAAGAGTGAATATAGATTTTACTGTTTATGTAGTTTTTCCCCCTACTGGATAATCTAAATATAAATTTATATATACAGCATATATATATACAGTATATACATTTTAATAAAATACATGATATACTATAAAGTCATGTTTTCTATATTTTATAATATTCAGAATACGTGTGTGAGATATTGATAGTATTATAATTGATAAATTATCAAAACCAAACAATTAGCCCCTACAGAAATTAGCTATGTAATCAGTTTTATTTTAGCTGTTGTTGCATTTTTGCACTGATCTCTATATTTAAAAATAGTTGTCCTTATACCTCGTTATTTTCATTAACTTGGAACTCTTTAATAGACATTCTGTTAATTATTTATCTTAAGAGTTTCCTATTTTCCTAGATTTTCAACCAAGATGATTTATTTATTTGATAATAGGAAAAATATTCTTTTTCTTCTTTTTACTTTCGTTTTCAAATGTAAGTGATTGATTTGTACAGTTCAGAATGGGAAAATACCCTTTTCATTGTACGTAGAATAATTGTATTCTATTAAAAGAGAGGGAGAGAGAGAGAGAAAGAGAAAGAGAAAGATGAGCAAGTTTATGTAAGACAGATTAATCATATGTCTGGAATATTGTTATATCTGTTTTTGATTTAGTTTATCTTAATTTTCAAATAAATTCAACTTCAAGAGGAATGTTCTTAACATTCTTCTCATAAAGTCATTCTCTATTTCTTCTGCTTTCTAAGTAGTTAATCTTCATAACTAGTTTTTATATATTATAATACAGATGGCGCTTTATATTTAATATTGAAGAATTGCGACACCTATATATTTAATACAGTTTTGAAGATTAGTTCTAAATATTGGATTTAAAAAATCGAAGTATTTGCACTTAATGAGAGCTATCCCGCAAATATAATCGATAGATATTTGTGAGTGGATCGATTCAAAACCTATTCCCTAGACTCAAAGTAGCAAAACAAAAATACAAAAAATATAGGACCGCTGGCATAATGGTTCCCAAATGATACAATCAACGTTGATTGGTTGAGAAGTAGTGACGTCACGTAATGTTTATGGCCTACGCTCATACGAGTCGAAATATTCAGCAAGACCTTAAGCATTATTACAATTCAGCGTTTCTAAGCCTACCTAATTCATATTACATACTATGACTTATCAAGCAGTAAGTGCAGTATATTGACTTGGTGGCCTATTTCTTTCGGATAACAATTGATTAAACTGGATTTTCTCTCAAAATTGTATTCGTTCACAAATATTTTAACTTTTTACAAATATAATCGTTTATACTGTTTTTAACAAGAAAAGGTGAGTTGTCTATTTCATATAATATTTAATAATATTGTGACATTCGATAAAATATAAAATTTATTATAAACAAATGATCTAATCTGTAACCTAACTATACTTATATCCTCCATTTCTTATCTATAAACAATGAAATTGTACGAAAGACATTGAGAGCATTTTTAGCATGTATGCTAGAGAGTGCTGCTTAAAGAGTTTGTTCAGATTGTAAGACGTCCTATAGAGGAAGAAATAAACTACTATTATAATAAAAGGATTGTGTATACGTGTGTGTTTGTATGTGTGTGTGTGTGTGTATGAGAGGGATAAAAGAAATTAGACGAGCGTTGTTGAGTGAACGAACTAAAGAAAAACGACATAAAACAATATTTTTAAAGATAAAAAGGAAATTTGAACTAGATTTCTATTCACTTGATAGGCAACATCCGGCAAAAATGTCACTGGAGTGTTCAAGTTTAGATGTTGAGTAAGAGCATTGTTATCTTGTCTCCTAATTCGTTATCAGTTGGCAAGGGTTTCAAATTTCTATTTTCGATCATCTATTCCTTTGCTCGTATATCTAAACAGATATCATAGTTGTCCTATTCATCGTCTGTTTTCAATCCATATAGCACAAATAACCTTATTGAAAAAGGTTTAGACATTCACAGACAATGTAAACCGATGCTAAATGATAAATGGAAAAAGCTTGCACAAGATTCTTATTTGTCTTTGACTTCCTTCTTTCTTATTAGTATGAATCTTTTCATATTTAAATATTCTATTTGATTTAGTGGCCCAAACAAGAGAGGAATTTTCCTATTTTTCACTTATCCTTATAAAACCATACATTAAATGAATTGTTTATGACAATTTCATTAACTTAACAAATTTAAAAAGTGAATAAATTTGCAAGATATGTATAAGAGTTTTATAGTTTAAAAAGAATTAACATGGGGAATGAATATATAGTCTAGGTTTTTTTTTTGTTTATCTAGGGAAAAACATTTCACTTTCAATTTGCAGTTTAAGATGAGAATACAGAATCTTTTATTTTCCTTCCTTTATCATCACCATCTCTTTATCTAGATCATTTCTCCCTTTTTCGATCTATCTTTTCGCTTTTTCCTTTTCTCATAAATTGTTTTACTATTTACATAATTTTACAAGAAAACATTCTATTCTTTTCATTCCTGCTATTATAGTCTTTTACTTGATTGAAAGATTGAGTAATGCGTTATTTATAGTAACATATTTTAATTTATTTTTTACCTATTGTTTAGATAGACAGCAAAAAGAGTAGACAATAGATTAATTATACGTATACTGGTTTAATAGTAAACTATAGCTCTTTCTAATTTAGCTGATACTAATCGTATACGGATATACAGCATATATATCTATAAAATAAACTTTGCATACCACTGCAGTTCTATCAAATACTCTTGTTTGTTTCTTTTGTGAGTTTTTTTTCTCTCTTGATTCTTCAGCCCATAGACTCATTTTATCAGCTAAGCTTTCTTTTTCAACATCATCAATATCTAAACTACAATTTGTAGCTTTAGGCAAGAATATTTTGTTTTTTTCTTCTTCTTGTTCTAATAAACAATAAACACTTTTCATTCTCTATTTTATGGTCATAAAGAGAATAGTGACAAACTTTTTATAGGCATTACGTGTTCGTATTGTTTGTTTTATATGATAGATGCTTTTGATATAATGGTTGCCTAGAGGTTGTCTCTTTACTCTTCAACTTCAACGTTTAGGCAAAAGGTTTGAACGTTTAAATAATCAATTTTATCAGATTGTATAAAATATAAATACTATGGTAATTACTTACCGTAATGAGTTGTAGAAGAGAGCTTCTCTCAATCATAGAACAACTGTCAAACATCGGAAAGTGTTTACTCAATAGAAGGCAAATAATAGTAAATTGTTTAATAATATAAGAATTTTTAAATGGAGAAATTCTTTACAAATCAATTTTTTATATAACTTTTATTTTTTAGCACGACATATAAAAATTATATTTAATGCTCTTTATACCTTATAAAAGTTTATATTTGCTATGAACTTATAATATATAAATAGAAATAGGGAAAGTTAGTTGCCATATCTAAACATATCCATTTATAAAAACTCATAGAATAAATATATTACAAGTAATTGTTTCGTTCTATCATCATTATTCAAAGGTCACTTTTATATGAATTCTTATAGGCGGCTAGTACATTTATCAACTATGCCTTTACTTTCTCTTTTGGCGATATTACCTTATAGTAGAATTCTCGTTTGTCATTTATTGTTATAGAATTATTTAGTATATCTAAATACATATAATTAGTTCAAGAGTATTAATTTTCGCTACTGCAATGTAAAATGACGTAGTTGAAGGGAGAAAAACTTTAAATATGAATTATTTCACTATTATGAATTGCTAAAAAGTTTTGTTTAGAAGAAATGATGATTAATAATTTATACGTCTGATAAAATGGTCTATTATTAAACGATTGAGAGTAGAAATAATTTATTATAAACCCAACATCAGTTTTGTATTATAGTTTTACTTTTTCTTTTCATTAAATATGGTTAATTAATTGAAATATGATATATACTTTGCCCTTTTTTTTGCTTTCAGATCACCACGAATTATATACTTCACATCGCAATCAACCTACTCTACTCTTTTTCTCTCTCTCTTCCTCTCTCTCTCCCTCTCTCTCCATAAATATATATTAATGTATATATATTAATACATACGTATATATATATATATATATATGTTTTTATATATATATATATATTGATGTATATACGTAATATATACATATATGTATATATAAGATAAAACAAGATTTCGAACTATCTTAACAAGAAATTATACCATTCATCTATGTTATGCTACTTTTAAAACAATGAATATCGCTGCCGTTTTAATAATCCTTTTATTGCCTTCTATAGTATTTGCGGATGTTGAAAGTAAGTGTATTTTATTCTTTATCTTTCCAATTTCATACATATTACTTAGATTTAAAAAAAAAAGTCTTAGATATAATATTGAATTAATTAATAAATGTTTTTAGCGTTATTTTATTTATTAATAATTAGCTAATACTTGTATTTAAATAAGAAAAATTAATATAATTATAAAGATAAAATTAAAAGAGTTAGGCTGATAAATTGTATTTGGTTATGCATCTAGTTACCCATTTGGACGATACGAGAGGTTTGAGAAATATTTTGTTCTTCTTTGTCTAACTTTATATACTTTTATTTCAATAGATATTTTGGTGTTTTTTCTGTTATTTTTTTAATATTTTTTTTTTACACGTCTTTTAAAACAAAACAAAAAATAAGAACATTTCATTTTTTAGTGTAACCTTGTTTATTTAAAAAAAATACTTTGCACACAAAGTTAACAGCTGTGGCTATTCTTACCAAAAACAAAACGATAAATTTTAAAGCAGAAACAATAATTCCTACTTTAAAAAGCATTAATATGCATAACTTTTTTAAAATTGCTAATTAGCCTTACTTTTTTCTTCTTTAATTTTTATTTCTTTTAAGTTGACATATTAAAAATATTCAATTTAAATAGGTATACTAAGAAATAGATATATGCATATATATATATATATGTATATCCATATATCCAATTTCAATACAAAAATGGAAACAAATGAATGGAGTATTGTAGAAAATGTTGTATTTTCTTTTCTAGTAAAGTTGCTTTCTTTTCCTTCAAGTGGTTGATGCCAGCACGTTAGCTATAAGTTCTCTTCTTTTATAAATAAGCTGCACTTGTTTAATTCGAGTATAAACACACCGCTGTTGCAATAGACGTTTGTTTATCAACCCTTTATGAATGGTGTAATGTTCTTTTTAAGTTGGTTAATTAGGGAAACTTTTTCAACTTTTTCTACTGTATTGAATGAAAATATCGTATTGTTATTGTACTGTCTACATTAGTATTTTTAATTTAAGCTTCACCAATTTTTTTGCTTAAGTAACCGGAAGATGGGGAAAATGTGTAAGACCGAATAACGATAATAATAATAATAAAAAAAACATTAAATTCTCCCAAAAAAAAGGGCGGTGTATTTTAAATATAAACAAGTACTTGAAACAAATAGGCTTAACGAAATACGATACAATAAATTCTACAAAAAATTGCATACGATGATGATTCAATGAAGCATGACCGCAAAACTTAAATCTTGTCTAATAAGCAGAAAATTATTCAGTTTAACTACTGTATAGAGTTATAATATTTCTTATTTAGTAGGACAAAATCAGTTGAAGTTTAATTAAATTTCATCAATAATGTAATCCGTTTGACCTTTATTTCTAAATCATATTATTAGATTGTCCTATTAGGTTAAAAGTTAGCAAAAAAAACCTATATATCTCAAGATTAATAGATATTGTTAAAGAATTCTAAAAATGTAGGGGATAACATACAAATTCACTCGATAACTGAGTACGAAATAGTTTGAAAATATTTTGTATAAATACATTTTACAGGCACAAACATATGGAAAATATGTATTAAAAAAATACGATACTCTGGAAGGTCGTTAAATATTAAAATGAACTTGACTTTTCCTTATAATTAAAAGGGAGATAGAAGAACTGCTGTAACGTATTTTTTGTGATGCAAACTATTATTAGAAAATTTATCATTTTTAATTACTTTTAAACAATATTTGAGCATCTTTTAAGACTTTATCTAATACTACAATTGTACGAATTATCTTCATCTCTTTATATAATAAAAACTTTTAGGCTTAATAGAAAAGGAGAACACACTCTCTGCACATGTTTTATCTTTTTTCTTTGCTTTATCCACATTGGTTTACATGCCAATTTTCTCGGCTCTGACTGAAGAAAGGATATGTTTCTTATATAGATAAAAAAAGAAAGGGAATTGCATAGATAGAGAAAGAAAGAATGACTGTAAAAGTAGATGTTCGTTATTTTTTTGCTTGTTATAGCTATAAATCTTACCAATTACGTTGGGCTTAAAGCAACAGCGTACTGTGAGCTAATTTTTACAGTAAGTTTATTTAGTCACGTATGATATAGCTAGGTTAGAGTTTGATATATAACATATTCTATATTATATATCTATCTATTTGATATTGGGTATAATTGTACATGTATTAATCACAAACTAGATGGCATAATAAATAATAGTCGCCACAGGAAACAATTATAATGGAATAGTGGTAATAGTTATCGTTTTATTAGTACTATAAAAATTCTACATGTACATTTATAAATTTCCTTTTTCATAATAACTTGTATTTTTCTTGTAAATAAATAGAAACTTGTTTTTTAAATACAGTTATGGCATATTAATTATTATTTATCTGGTTATATAATACAGTATAAATACGTAAAAATTATACTTTGCTAAGGGTAAAATACTGTAATGTAATATTGGAATGGAGGCAAGATATTTCTATCTTTCTTGCGCATTTATTGTATATAATTCGTGTTTAAGAATTTTGTAAGATTAAATATCAATGGGTAACGTATGTAGAATATATATATATATATATATATATATATATAGTATATTTATGTATATATATGCACTTTCATGCACTCATTCTACACAATTTATCTATATTTATAAATAGTGTATATGTAGGCGGTGATAAAATGTAGACAAACTAAAACGTTTTACCTAAAAGACGTCTAAATAGTTATAAATAATAGAGCAACAAATCATAAAATTTGGACTATATGAAATGGAATGTTTCATGGTACTTATAAAAAATAAAAATTACTAATTTATTATTAATTAGAAACTTATTCTATTTTTAGAAATAAGCTAACAATTCCTTTTTAACAATACTGTAATAATAATAGAAAAAATTTTATGTCTATACTATAAGTCAAATTTATATAAAAACTATCTAATTAAATATATAATACCTATCATAAAAGTTTATAGAACATACTATATAACCTTTATGAATGAACGAAAAGTTGAAGAGTTTCGAATAATTGTTTAAAGATTCAAGAGAGTAATTCTTTACAATAAGATAGTGTAGGTGTACTGAGTATGCGTATTATTACTCATTAAACGCAGATAGATATATGATTAATTTTTTATTATTTATCCTTTAACTATAAATAGTTAAATGACTGTAAAAAAAAGTTGTAATTTCCCCCTGTTTTTATAAAGTTCATTTGTTTCCTATTTCATTCCATTTTTAGGTTGATACTTTTTTGTTTACAGGAATTAATTGCAGCTTATCATATCCTATCATTCAGTAGAGACAGTTTCCCAATTCCTATATCAATATAATTTCTAGTTGTAAATGTTTTGTAAACAAGAGCAAAATGGCTAATGTTAATATAAAAAAAAGAAATATTTCGCAAGAAATTGTCATCTAAAATATAATTGAAATATGAAACCATATTTGAACCATTCTTCCCGTTCAATCATTTATTATATTCACTATTTTTTTTCCATCTTCTACTTCTTAATAGTTTGTCAGATTTAATAAAAAGGGAAGGGAATCTATAAAAATAGATGTATACATTTTTATGGCTAATTTTTCTTTTATCAAATATTCTATCTATCTATGGTTGTTTTTATTTATTAATTTTTATTTAAATTATATAAGAAAACAATATAAAATTAAAATTTTTTATTATATCTTCTTCATTTTTTTCCCTCCTCCCTGATACAGTCTGCAAAGGGACAGCTGATGGTCTATCTACAAGCGATAAATTTTCAACATTAAAACAATATTATGGCAATGGTAAAAATTGCGTTATTATTGATGGCAATTTGGAGATATCAGGATTAAAGGAAGAAGATAATCCAGATTTTTCAATGTTTGATTCTATACAAGAAATAACTGGATATCTTTTAATTTTTCAACTGCAATTACCGAAAACAAATGTTATTTTCAAAAATTTACGAATTATTCGAGGTGCTATTAGATATCCATTACGTAACCAAATATCCAGTTCAGGTCAAAAGCCTGAAGAATATTCACTTGTTATAATTTCATCTCTGATGAAAAATTTGATACTTCCTAAACTAACAGGTAAGTCATTAGAGAACAAATATCTTTAATTGACCATTGTGAATACCTCTTTTCTTTTATTGCATAGAAATACAATCTGGCAACATTCAGTACGTCAACAATTATTTGTATGAAGTTTGCTTTATAGAAAAAATCAGTTGGAATGATATATTCAATGAAGCAAGTCAGAAATATGTTAAAAATGGTTTTAATTCTTGCGTTAAACGCGGTAAGATATAATATATTTGTTAATAATTTATAATAGAGCTAATTGAAGTTAAACACTATCGCAGAATGTCATCGTGAATGTCCTAGTAATCATTGCTGGGGTCCTGAAAAAACTCATTGTCAAGAGTGTTAGTATATATTAATAAATGTTCCTTTCTCGGAAGGTCTCTTTAATTCTTTTCCGTTTTAGTAACAAAAACCATCTGTCCGCGAAGTTGCGCAACACTTCGATGTAATTCGAACAAGGAATGCTGTCATGCATCTTGTGCTGCTGGCTGCCATACTTCTAAAAATACGGATTGCTATGTAAGTTTCTACTATAAAACTATAAATGATTAAACTATAAAGAAAGAATATGATCTATCAGGCATGTAAAAATTTTCGAAACGGTGAATCTTGCGTTTCTACTTGTCCCAGTCTATGGAAAATTAATCAATATACCAATGAACGTGAGAAAAATCCAGATGGAAAGTATTTTGCGGGGTATTACTGCTTAGATAAATGTCCAAGTTAGTATACTATTTAGTAATTTTATGAACAATTATCCATAAATTATAAAATAATCTGTAAAATTTTTAATAGATTATCTCTTTCATTCACAATTTGACAATTCTTGCGCCCGAACTTGCCCTAAGCGTACACATCAGAAAGATGGAACTAACTTTTGCGAAATATGCGATGGACCTTGCCCTAAAAGTGAGCTTATTTTTTCATTATTCCAGTAATGTATTAGATTATTGATTTGACATTTTCTTTTGTTTTATTTTAGAGTGTCATATCAAGAAACCCCACAACCGGAGTTTTAATACACTCGATGATTTCAAAGATTTCAAAGACTGTACAATTCTCAGCGGTGATCTACACTTTCTGGAATCGAGTTTTAAACCTAGGTAATATAAATTAAATAAAGATTTCTCTATATCTATCTTATGAAATATTTCAGTGCTGGATTAATACCTTTCAAAGAGGAAGACTTTAAAATATTTGAAACTATTAAAGAACTAGAAGGATATATAATGGTTTTTGAAACACCATTGAAAAATTTCGATCATTTTAAAAATCTCGAAGTTATTAGGTATGATTAAATTAAGTACTTCTTTAAATAGGTCTTTTGACAAACGAGCTTATGTTAATGACTTTTTAAATTAATTTTAAATTGATGATAAGTAAAATTAAAAAATCTATATATTTCTTTTATTTCTTCATTTACAATTCCTTTTCTTTCAGGCGTGGAATTGATGTTATTAGAAATAAGAATTTGAAAACAATAGATTTACCGAAATTGAAAAAAGCTTTTCATCGATTTTCTTTTACAAATAATAAGAAATTAAACTATCTTGGTTTGAAAAATATTCAAACTGTTGATTGTAATATCACTATAGCAAATAATCCTAATTTATGCTACATTGAACAATCTCTAAAATACTTTGATACTGTTAGACTCGATAGATACAAAACTAATATCCAAAACAATGCAAAAAAATCCTATTGCGGTTAGTAAATTAGAAGAGGATGTCTTATAAAACAATTATTTATGCCTGCTAAAATATTTTACTTTGTTTAGAATCTAAAAATGCCGTATGTGATTTCGAATGTCATCCTACTTACGGTTGTATTGGTCCTGGACCGGAGAATTGTGTAGGAAGTTGTAGAAATTACAAATTCAAGGACAAGTAATAGAAATAATCTTTTGCTATTAGTTTTTAAATAAAGAGTATAATATTCAACGTTAATGTTTCAGATGTATCTCATCGTGTTCCATAGCCGTCACTAAAATTCCAACGTATACAAATAATACTGCTCAAGAGTGTAGACAGTGCCACGAAGGCTGCAAAGATGGGTGCTCAGGACCAGAAGATACAGAGTGTGATTCTTGTATACTAACCCTAAAAGTTTTTGGATTGTCAAAATGCGTTAAAAAGTGTCCGACAAATATGTATCCCGATAACAACAGTGAATGTCAGCCTTGTTACGAGTATTGTACAGGTAAACCGACTCTTTCATTGGGCTAGTTAATTTATAAGGGATAGTTTGACAGAATGGAGATGATTCATATCTAAAAGTAGTCAGCCACTTTATCTATAGTATTTGACGCGCTATCAGTAGTCTTATCTAGTGATAAATTATAAAAAATACTGTTTAATACATAAGGAATGTTCTAAGTATAGCTAAAATACAAATTATTTAAATAGAATTATTCATGTACATGGTTGTTTTAATAAGATGAGAAAGCTTGTACTGAAAAATTATGGTACAGAATGTTCTCTTCTTTTTTCTCTCATATCTCAAATGTTATTTTCTTAACTTATATTTTCTAAAGAGGATAAAGAAAGCCTATAAGCTTATTATACTACCGATTATTTTGCACTTGATTTAAGTTGATAAAGAATTATGGGATAGAGGTCACAAGGGTGATAATCCCTTGACTATAGATTGAATGATAAACATTTCTAGTTGACAGTTATTGTTTGAGGAATATACACCCACATATTATACTTACATATAGATTTATTAAAAATTACTGATTGTCTCACTAAACTTCTTATTTAATTATTTATTCACTAGAAGATATATATTATTAGTATATATAGTATTAAAAAACTTTTCTATTACTAAGTGTAGGCGTTTAGCAAGAATTTATGTCTTTTAATTCGAAAGAACGTAAAATATTACCTTCACTTTTTATCGTTCTCCGCGAGGCAGTTTATAATAAAAGCAGAAAACAATGAAAAAAAAGATTCCATCCAAAAAGAAAATCCTCCTTCTTTTTTTTATATTATTATAAAAACAAACTGTAGGATACGGAAGTGTTTACTGTGATTTCTTACAGTTTGTATAAAATGACAGTCGTAAACAATTCTGATATCTCTATATAAATTTCCATTTGTTTACCGTACACTTGGCAGCGTTTTTCTTGGCAGTTGAGATAAATCCGGAAGTAGAGCCTCCCTCTATATATATCGCATATACATTTTATGTAGTCATTGACAATCCTATTTTATAAATTGCTATTGATTTTTTTTTATCTTAGATGGCTGTACTGGACCGGGAAAAGATATTGGAATGGGTGCATGTAATAGCTGTAAAATGGCAATTTTAACCAAGAAATTTGCTGTTGATAAATGTGTACCGGAAAATTATAAATGTCCAGTTGGATATTTTAAAGATAAAGTTTCAGTGTCTATAAAAATACAACACGATCATCCAATGCTGGGCAAACATGTACCAAATTTATATTCCATTTCATATTGCTCTGATTACATACTTTTTCTAATTTAATTAATATAATGACTTTTTTTCTAGAGTTGCTTTCATTGTCATCCTACGTGCCTCACTTGCAGCGCAAAGGGACCAGGTTTCTGCCTTGATTGCAAGCATTTCAGACAAGGGTCACAATGCGTTTGGGAATGTGATGACGATTACTTTCTACAGGATAGATTGTGTTCTAAATGCGACACTACATGTATCGGTTGTAAAGGATCAACGTCTGCTGATTGCAAAGAATGTAAAAATTATAAAAAGAGAGTCGATGATAATAACGAAAAAGTAATGAAAAGTTTTATGCATAAATATAAAATTTCTCTAGTCAACATAATCATTTTCTATTCAACATTTGCTTTTAGAGGGTGATAATCAAATAAGCCAGACTTCTTATTTGACCTTTGTAGAAATTTGACTATTTATTATGCAAATGAAAGATTTTCTTAAAATAGTTTCTTCCTTTTTTTCTATATTTAAAAAGACGGCTTTATCAATATTGGTATATTTCTTTTTTTTTCTAGTTTGAATGCGTTACTGATTGTCCGAAAGGATGGAGTCACGTTAAAGATGAGACTGGAGGGCCGATTAAATCAAAATGGTTATGTCTGCCTGATACTGAAATTGAAGAAATTCAAAAGTAAGAAATTCTTTCAAATTGATCAAAAACACCTTGTTTTTAATTATAAAATATATTTATAAATAGTGATAAAAGGAGGAAAAAAACCATTGGAATAGCAGCAGGAGTCACTGTTGCATTTTTATTATTAATTATTGTTGCTATTGGTATTTTCATTTGGAGGAAAAAAGTTCAGACTGAGGCTAGAAGGTAAAAACACGAATAATTATTATATCTCTTAGCGAATTTTATTATTGTACATATGTATATTTATATACAATATATGTTAAGTAATGAGGTAAAAATGCTTCTCTAGCTTACAAAGGCTTTTCTTTTTATATGAGGATATTGTAAAATATTTATTAAGGGTATCTTTGTACAACCTATTTTCTTTTGCTTAATCAATAATAACTTATTATTTTTAGACTGGAATTTGAAAAGAAATTGGAAGGGGAAACTATACCGCTAGATCCTACAGGAGCTAATCCAGACATGGCTCACGTTCGATTAATTAAAGATAGCGAATTAAAGAAAGGTGTAGTAATTGGTAGTGGAGCGTTTGGAACAGTATTTAAAGGTTTATGGACACCGGCTGGTGAGAATCTGAAAATTCTGGTTGCAATTAAAGTATTGACGGACAGCTCGCCTGAACAGAGCACTGTAAATTTTAAATTAATTAGTTCTTCTGTTGAGAGATCAATAAAGAAAAAATTTGTTTTTTTTTTCAAGGAACTTTTGGAAGAGGCTAGAATTATGGCTTCTGTTGATAATCAATGCTGTGTAAAAATTTTAGGAATTTGTATAGCATCGCAGATGATGATGATTACAAAACTTATGCCATATGGAAGTTTACTGGATTATATTAGAAGAAGTAAAGAAAATATTGGATCAAAGGCAATACTTAATTGGTGTCATCAAATAGCTACGGTAAACATAAATATAAATCAAACAGTTTAAACTACAATTTACTTAATGTTATTAACTATTTAAAATTATCTAGGGAATGCAATATCTTGAGGGAAGAGGTATTGTTCATAGAGACCTGGCTGCAAGAAATGTATTAGGTAACTAAAGATAATTATGATATATTTCCTTCAATTTTAAAATTATTATTTCATTTTCCTCTTTCAGTTCATTCACCAAACTTAGTGAAGATTACTGATTTTGGTTTAGCAAAATTACTAAATATAAATGAAGAAGAGTACAAAGCTGGTGGTGGAAAGGTAACAGAATTGTAACATTTATTAATGACACTTGGTTTATAGAAAAAAATATCTCTTTTTTCCCAAATTAGATGCCAATTAAATGGTTAGCTTTAGAATGTATCCAACATAGAATATTTACGCACAAGAGTGACGTATGGAGTTACGGTAATAGAAAAAAGGATTTTTTCTTTTCGTTTGGAAATTACTTCATAGAATAATTTTCTTTTAATCTTTGAAATTAAGGTGTCACCATATGGGAAATATGTACTTATGGTCAACGACCTTACGAAGGTATGCCAGCAAGGAGTGTACCGTTTGCCTTGGAAAGAGGAGACAGACTACCACAGCCTGAAATTTGTACTATCGACGTTTACATGTGGATGATAAAATGTTGGTTGCTGGATGCAGATAGTAGACCTAGTTTTAAAGAACTTCGTGAAATATTCAACAAGATGTGCGTCGATCCAGGAAGATATCTTGTGATAAAGGTATACTAAATTACGTATATTTGTTTCTAATGAAAATATTAAGCAATATTTATTCTGTATTATTTACTTTTCAAACAACTAACGATCTACTTAAAATGTTTAGGGAGACAGTCTTATGAAATTACCATTAGAGGAACATAGTACAGTTGAACTAATGAGGGGGATGAGTGTTAATTCAACGACAGCCACAAAACTAATTGATGCTGATGACTATCTTCAACCACGAGACGTAACGGAAACATCGAGAATGACTATTGATTCTACAGTAAAGATATTAATTGATTTTTACATCAACTTTGTTATCAACCTAATATCTTACTAAACAGCTTATTTAAAATATAATCTTTATCTTGCAGTTTATGGGTGACAATCATGCCAGAAATTCAATGAACGACTCTTGTTCAAAACCATTAGGCAATTCACTTGAAGACAAGAAACTCTCAGCTAGACAAAGCCGTTCTAGTATGAGATATAGGTAAGTTATTTATTAAATTTTTATAAGTAGAAATGAATAATATGTTAAGTAAAAATGATAAATTCAATATATAAACTTGGCTTTTCAAAATACCAAAAAAAAAGATTAAAACACACAATGAAAGACAGGATGAACGGTATAAATGGTTTTGCCTGTTGCAATTCAAATAAAGGATCTTTTTGGTAATTGTAGAAACATAGTAAAATTGATGGCAGATTTGTAAAACTAGGCCATCAGATAAAATACTTCAACTGTATAGATTTATATTTATCTATTAATACGCCATCTACCGCTTAAAATCATAACTTTATAATTAATCAATTTTTCAATATGCAAGAAAAATGAAATATTCAAGAGTAGTAAATTTTGACATTTAAGTGAATATTGTATATTTCAAGCGGTTCTTTTGCGTTATTGATAGAATATAAAGCATGTTATTATTGTTAGTTGAAGTAGATTTAATATTTTCAAAATACTGTATATGGTCAAGTTAGACACATTACATTCCTTTCGCTGTACACAATACTTTTGATTAAAGATCTCTTTTATTCATTTGTTCAAAAAATCAAAATAATTCCCCGCCCTAGGTTGCTAAGCAGTTCAGTTCTTATATGTTTACTCTTAGATGTTTCACCTTTTTAGCTCCCCCTCGCTCCCCTTTTCATTGTTAGAGTTTTCAGACGCATGCAAGAGCAAAATATTTATTGACTGTACAGCCAATTTCCAAGAAATAGAATATTTATAATTCTAAAATGTTCTATTATATTATACTCTATACAAGATATTTTATTTTTTTCTTCTTTCTCTTTTTCTCTCTCTCTCTAAACACAGTCAATCATACATAGATAATTGTATATTTCCCCTCCCTTATTTTCTTTATATCATATGTTTATTTTTCTTTCTCTTTCTTTCAAGAGACTTTATTTTTTTTCATTTTATAATTTTTAATTGCAAAATTTAAATTAATTCACTATTAGTTTAACTAATTAAAAAATATTTATCTATTATAAACAGTGACGTAACTGATTTAACGTAAGTAGATATAACAAAATAACACAGCTTTTTATATTTTTTTAATGTAGTAAAACTAGTAATATAAAAAATAATTGAAAACAAAAAAGATAATACAAAAACCTTTTGCTTCATTAGTCCTTCTAAATAAATATTCAATCAACCCTCTTAACCATTTTTTTCTCTAATTGTTCTTTTTTTTTTCATTATTGTTTAAAAGTGAAAGAAAAAAAATTGATAACAAAAAAAAAGGCATACAAAACAATAAAGCAGTTAATAACTAATATGGTTAATCTTTTAAAAAATATTTTATGCATAAATTAATTTGATAAATATGCTAATTTCTACTGTTTTATTTATATATAATATTATAATATATTTATTTATTTAAGTGAATATCTCTGACCTTTTTATATTTTTCAATTTTAAATTATTTTATACATAAATATATAAATGTAGTAATTTATGATATAACATATTTTCTATCCATATTAATACATATTCATTTATGATAATGTACATGTATAAATGTTTATACTTTTTTCCATAGTTCTGAGCCCAGTCGAATAATTGAAGAGGAACCATTACCCAGTCTACAGCCTCCTCCACCACCCGTTGCAACAGGTGTTGAAGATTATCTACAACCAAGGCAGGAGGCTGGAGATTATATCGATGTTCTTGGTAAAAATTCTTATACAACTATGTCAGCACCGAAACCTCCTCCACCGTTAGATGAAAATTTACTTGATCCAAATTATTTAAATGAAATTAACGCTCAATTACCACATACTAGTAAGGAAACCAACGCTAAAAAAGGTTTTTTTTTTGAACAAAACTCAAGAGATTAGAATGTGTCACTAGCTTTAACACCAATAGTTGATTTCAAATTGACCTCTTTATCAATTTAATTTATTTTTTATTTTGCGTTATTGAGATTTATTTATAATTATTATTTATTGTTTATTTCTTTTTATTTACTTTTTTTTTCCGTTGCTTCCGCCAAAAAAAAACCAAAGAAATACAACAAAACAAAAGCTAGAAAGAAGAAAAAAAACAATAGAATAGCAAGAGAGAGAGAGGAAATTAATATTTTATAGAAATATTAATATTTTTTTAAATATTTATTAAAACCTTATCAAAAAAGAAAGAAGAATATTTATAAAAAAATACTTAATTGAACCAGAGAAAAGAGTCCATTTTGATTCTTGTTAAACTTGTATTTCTATATTATTACTACTATTATTAAAGAAGACAATTTATTGATTAAATATAGAGTAGTTTTTTTTATGAGGTTCTTCCTCTTATCCTTTTTATTTGCAATTTTTTTGCTTGCTTTGTGCAATTTTTAAAACTGTTATAGTTAGAGTATAGATAATATATATTCTAACCAAAAGACACTCAATACAGTTTTAACAGATTCTATGCAGAGAAAACAGTTATTAGCTATAAAAATAAAACAAAAATGTAAAGATTCCTAACAAAGATTCAATTTATCGCGTTTTAAACGAGCGATTAATATTGACTAACAATTTTTTTATTTATAGCTACTCCTCAGGCTAAGAGGAAGATGACTGTTGAAAATCCAGAATATTTTCAAAATATGTCGGCACCTACGTCACCACCCCCTCCTCCGCCACCTTTTAAAGAAGATTATTACAATGATCCTATGAATGATGAGAATAATATTAGTTTATTACCAAAAAACATTCGACTGATAGATGACAATCAAAAAAATGAAAGCAGTGTATGATTTACCTAAAAGACTAGATGTGTTTATACAAGCTTTGTTTCGCTTTAATTTCATTTTACTGAAAATAAAGAAACGTATAAATATATTGTTTAAAACTAGAATATAAATACATAAGTTTACTTTAAAATATTGCATAATAACATACAAGAAGACATAGAGAACATATGCTTATACAAGTATATCTATCTTAAATATTGTCTACTTGTTCATTTATTTGGCCACCCAGTGTCTCTGTAGAGCCCTTACCGCTATCCCAAATTCGCTGTTGTTCATGTTGCTTAGAATAAAGGGGAAAATTCTCATCTTTTGAGAGGAGAGTCTTATTAAGTGAAACTTATCTAATTCACTTAATCGAAGTTTATGCTGATTATTAATATGATTAAACAGATGAGATGGATCTTTTGTTGTATGGGGACAATATCTGCAATGGAATGCAACACTATGTGAAGAATTTGTTTTATTTTCCGCTAGTCTACAGGTGATGACCCTCTCAAGTTTTTCCAAATTCGACATTACATTCCGGTTTGCATTGTTGTTCAGTTCAAATTGCCTGTCTTTCATATTTGATCCTTTTGTTGGATAGAAGGCGTTTCTTTCAAACATTGACTTTGCTGACTGAGGATATGGAAAAGGTGTTGCGTTTATAGAATGAGATTCACTGCTTGAATATTTATGTTGTTGTGTTGTCATTACTGGATTTCTCAATCTATCATTGCCACTATAAGATGCTTTTAGCTGGGTAGTAAATTTATCATAAGTCTTTGGTTTAAAATTGTTTGCAACCATTTCAACTGGTGGTCTTTGAAACTGATAAGGCTCAGAAAAAATAATTGATGGAGGAGCATGAGAAATATGAGGTTGAGTTTGTTGTATTGGTATTTGTAGCGGTACTGAGGGCTGAGGCTGAGGCTGAGGCTGAGGCTGGGGAGGTAAATACAGAGGTGGAGAATTTGGAAAAGTTCGTCCACTTTCGTTGTGCGAAAGAGAGGGTGGGGTGTCCTTGCCAAAGGCCATTCTTGTCCAAGTTAATGAAGAAAGCTTGGTCTTTTCAATGTGATTGACAGGAAAGTTTAGCGGTATTGTCTCTTGAATCTTAATAAGCGACGTCGGAAACTGGTATTGAAATTTACATTTCTTCAAGCACAACCTCTTCAACTCTTTCTTATCTTTTAAAATAAAATTACTATGATCATTGTGACACTGGTTGCGATGATGTTTGATATTTTTCAATGATAAACCTTTATAAGAGCACTGTGAGCACTGATAAGCATAATCGTTGGTATGTTTTTTGATATGATCCTCAATTCTAGTCTTTTTTGAAGAATTTGCACCGCATATTTTGCAACTATAATATATCGGTTTTTCTCTAACATTATTCAATTGTTCCATATTATCTAATCTGAAAGAATATTGAATCGGTATGAAGTTATCTATGTTTTTATAGATAAAAATAAATAAGTGTATCTTACTCATTTTGATTATTTATTTTATTTTCATGAACTTTTAATTCATTTTGATTTTGATACAGATTTGTATCTGAATTTACACCGTTTCCATTATTTATCTTCTTGATACTTGAAAAAGTTAAAAAAGAAAATTGAATGAATAACAATGCCTTTTGTAAATTTCAATATATTTACAACACAATAACTTGTACTATACAATTGAATGAGATTTTACGGCCAAATGAATAAAAATAATGTTTTTATATAAAAGCATTGGTGTTTTAATCAGATATTACAATATTTAAAAGGTAAAAGTAGGTAAAAAAAAAAGAAGAGAGGAATATGAAAAATTTTCATATTATTCATAAAAAAAAAGACAAATGAATAAAAATCATTTATCTTATCTTAAAACATATTTTGGGTCATTTTTTTTAAGTGAACAACTGACTTATTTTTATTATTTGATTAACTATTTTATATATGTATAAATGATTTTATTTCAACCTCTAAAAAAATCAATCAAACTACAAGAACAAAACGGAAATAAATATACCTTAGATCAATTACTTCACTTGCACCGTTTTCATTGCTTGGACTACTTTTTGGACAGATTTTACTACTGAAAAAGTAATATATTTCAGTTTTATATTATATTTATAGTGTTATAGAAATATCTTAAATGAAAAAATTGTGAAATTTTCTTATTTTACAATATTCAAGTAAAATATTAATAGGAAATCAATAAGAGACTACAGTCCCAGTATTTTTCTACTCTTGCTGTTTACATATAAATGCTTATAATCAATACCCTTAACAAGTAAATTTTCCGGTTGTTAAGGGGTTATAGTTATGTATAATGATATCATATTAATACTTTACCATACATTAGACAACTGAAATTTGCAGCTGTTCATAGATTTTAATTTAAAATGAAAAGTACTATTTTTGGTCTATTGGCTGAGTGACGTCTGTTTACATTCTTAAAAACATTGATTTCCTGATTAAAAGTCGAAGAATTGCAATTATAATTTTCCACAGCATAATGGTAGAATTTAGATTAGAAAATGTTTAATTTAATAGAACTAGCTATGAACTTGCTACTACCTTTTTATTTTGTTTATCATAGTTTCATACAATCACAAATTGAATATATTACTCACCTTTTAGGTTTATTAATTGCATCCTCTCCTCCATTTTGAGCAATTGTACTAGATTGTCCTTCTTTTGAAGTGAATTCAGAGATCTCATTGTTCAGTTTCAACGGAAAATTAGATGGAAAAGTCTTCTTTTCAAACAATTCTTCAAATGTAAAATCTCCTTGTTTCTCTCCAGACATGTTTTGAGTTTGAGGCTTTAATTTAAAGTATCCTCGAAGTTTGGCTTTGTTCCATACTTCATTCATAGTTGGCTGGTATTCTATTGATGAGCATAACTGACAATTCGATATCACATTGTTTACATGTTGACTAGCATGATAGAATGCATGATTTACATTCAATGTTGAATGATTACAAATCAAACACATGTGATAGAAAATAACCCTTTTGCAAGCATCCTTCTTTAGTGAAAATTCTTCAATTTTAACAGGTAAAGAAAAATGTTCCATTCGCTGATGAAGGTATATTTCAAAAGAAGTTTTATTTAACAACTTAAAACAATAACCGCATTTCATTATGCTCTCAGAAAGATGTTTTCTGACATTATGCTCAATTAGCTCAACCAAACAATCTTTGTTCTCACAGCACATTAAGCATTGGTAATATATTGTTGAATTGTGAAATTCCAAAACCTTTTCAGCTCCTCCATTTGAAGAAGCTGTTCCACATTTAGGATAAGCCATTGTTTTACCATTTACCAGGGGAGCAAAATAGGAAAATGTTTTATCCATTATCTCTTTGTCAGAACTTTCAAGTATCTTTTCTTGCTCATGTGCCATAGAAAAAGTATTATCCTTTTCAGGATCTTTTCCAGCCAATTCTTCTTTTACATCAGCTGTTGTAACTGAGCATAGAACATCTTGTGTTGTCTTTGAAGATTTATTTGTTGGCTTTTTCAACCATTTTTCAATTTCATCATTTTTCAATCTTTTTATTTTCACCTTACCATTCAAAATTTGGTCTAATGCTCTATTAATTGACCCAAATCTTTTAGGAAATAATTTTTGCAAGTAAGTACTCCGTTCACCATTATTTAGTCCCTTCTTTCCGTTATAATTCTCAACACAGTGAGTCTTCAAATTATCTGTAGAAATATCTATTCCAGTAAACATTTCAACATGGAGAAATTAAATAAAATCCTTTGTAAAATACTCTTTATTATGAAAATGTCTACAGCCAGATCATGCGACACGCTTCAATAATTCGAAACCGAACCGGTTTTGAACGTTGCCAAGCTCTTATAGAAAACTGTGTGCTTACAATTTTTTTTTTAAAATATAGCTTGAAAGAGTGTAGGTCCATAAAAGCCTAATGTTCAAGGACGATCGATAAGCAGCATTTATGATTCAAATAAATTTTTTGCATGTAAAACAATGACTTTGATGTTAAAGAAACATTAATTAATAAACAATAACCTAGTTTTGAATTTCTATCTTAAAATAATAACAAATGTAAATATTTGTTGTATTAATGAAATAAATGTATGTTACTAGTGGAGGAATGTTAAAATCTAAAATTTGAGTATTTATCATATTTACATACCTTTTAGATATTTTCTCATTGTTTCACATCAGAAAATGTATTTTCAGTAAATGGAAAAATGATGACAGCCTTTTTTTTTTACTTAATCAATTCCTCTTCCGATCCATATACACTAGTTAGTATGTATTTAACCTGCACCTGCTGATATTCATTCATTTAGTTATTATTGATGTTTTTCTGTTGGATTTATTTTGAATTCTTTCATATTTAAAACAATTGTTGGAGATAAGACTCTACAAGAGAAATGGCAATATAACTTATTCTCTAGTTTATATGTATAAAACCAATTTCGGAATTGCTGAAACCCCTTAATTACTTATTTTAAATGAAATGTACTCTCTAATGAGAGTAATTGGGCCGATCCCCCCCTTTAATGCAATAAGAGGTCAACCCTTGGACGGACAAGTGCAAGCACTAAAGCCTGTCCTATTCACAAAAAAAGCTGTAACATCATTTCCTTTCAATGAAAGGAATGTCAGATATTACGCTGACAAGAACAGATACTAACAACGATCTAAGCCAAATTGGCCGAGAAGCGATGTTTGACACTTCGTCGCTGTGAGAAAATGTGCGAAAATTCAACGAGTTCTTTAAAACCCTACTGCTACGTATGCATAAAACTATAACATTTTAAACCGTTAAATTCACGTAAAATAATACAAATTTCATCTATATTATTATTTAAATACATATATTAATAATTATTTATACTATTTTCAATATATTTAATTAAATTAAACGTATTTTAAAAGAAATAAAAGCATTCTAATAAAAATATGTCCGATTACTCATTAAAAGTGCCCGATAGGTGTCGGTTGAAAGTGAGTTATGTAATACATGAGAGAAATACCGTCAGTGAAAGTATATTAGAACAATTACGAAAAAAAACTGCTCTAAAACATGAAAATATTACAAGAAAATGAACAAAACGTATAGCGCATACTAACCTGCTGCGTATTGATATTGGTCAGGGAAATATGTAAAATAACGCAGAAAATATTTATAAAAAACTCATTAATATGCATTATCCGATCGATAAAACACAAAAGGAAAGCGGAAATAAGAATTTTAAGTAAAGTAATTACACGTCACTCAATTAAAATAGGAGTGCAGGTGAGAAGATATTCATAAAAATTATGATAAAAATATTAAATTCAAATTTAATACAATGATAGAAACAATGTTTAATTTGTGTTAGTAAAATGTAAAATTTGTAAATTGTATATTCTTAGATAAATTTTGAAAGGAAATTTCTACATAACATTGATCAATTTATCAAGCAATCAATGATAATTGACATCTGTATCTTTCTTATTTTTTCCTTTAAATCTATTTTTCATTGGAAATGGACATTGTACAAATACATTCACTTAAATATTAAAGTTATATAGTTTTAAGGAAACTAACTAAATATTTTGTTATAGTGGGAACCTTTCAGAATTTTATGTGTATGAAATAGATCTATTACAATAAAGCTTGTAAATTTTATACTTTATGAAAACTTTTCTTATTATTCTTCAACTGATACCACTCCAATCATTTAATGCGAATGAGAAGAGCGACATCTATTATTTTTAAAACAAAAGCTTATTCAGTAATCGCAACCCACAAAAAAAACAATTTTCAAATACCTAAAAGCTTAACAATGTATGTTATATGTCTGTGAACTATTTTATTTTTTAGTTATAAAGAATGGCCTAAATATGTTCTTGTTTATTGTGGGTAGTAAAAGAAAACTGAACAGAATATTCTACACTAGAAATAAATCTCGAATGGAAAATATTTATAGAAAATCCAGTTTTTGTACTATTGTTCAGTTGAATGGTTGAAAACCTGTTCTCTTCTTACTACAACTTAGGTAAGAAGATAATGAAATAGTGTTTAAAGCGTGAAGAAAACTATTCAATTTAACAAAAAATCAAGAATTCATATTTTACTTAGCTTATTTTATTATCATAATTATATTTTCAAAATCTGGTTAAATTATTATGATTATTTACTTGCCAGATTAAATGAAATTTGATATTCTTTGAGTTTGTTTTGAAAAGATAATATTCATTGATATTAATACTATTGTTGTAAGAGGAAGATGATGCTGACAAAGAAGAAGATATTTCACCTCTACTCTGCTAAATTTTTATTTTTATAATAAATATTGAAAAATCGTTAATAAATGTATTGAAAATTTTGTGCAAATGTAATTTTATAATGTTCTCGTGTATGTTTTTTCTTCCCTCTTTTATCAGTAAATCCTATATTTACCTAGTGGCTGTATTCCTTCTGCTCTTTTCTATAGTTTTGGTATTGTATAGAAATACTATAGCATTTCTATTTCTTAATTGCTCTGCTGAAGTAATTCTTTCAATACTATTGTATATTTGGAAAAGGTAAAATATTAGTATTCAATAAAATCTAATCTTTCCTTAGTTTTCTTCATGTATTTCCATTCAAAAGTGCAGTTTTATTATTTGAGACATTTATCAAGGTCAAAAAAGATACTTGTTATTCTTAGAAATGTATTTTTCTCTTATTATTTTGATAAGAATTGATAAGGACAAAAAATTTTCAATTTTTTTTTGCTTTTTATGACCTTTGACGGTTTCTTTTTTTTTTCTATATAAAGTCTTAAAGTTTAACGATAACTGTTGATAAAAAAAATAAAAGAGACGAATTCTTGAACTATAAATTCATAATATTATATAAAAACAGCATGTAATATATCATATAGATTATACAAAATGAATCAAAACAATAAATTGAACAGTTTGTTTCCTTCCCTAATTTGAAATTTTAGTAAAAGCAAGATCTAACATAATACTGGCGAATGATAGGTCCATCAATATGATCAATAGTTAATTTCAAGGGAGATCCAATTAATTCATCAAGTTCAGGGAGCATTAAATATCCAATTATCCTATGAGGTAAAATTCTCTTCTGCTTAAAATAATTAATACTTTTTAGCATAGGTAATTCAAGCACTGATCTTATAGAGATTCTTGCCATTTGTTGTAAACTCAAAATTGGTAGATCCTTCTCCAATTCGCCATTAATAAGACCAAATGTAAGCCGAAGCATGTGGAATATCACAGAATTACCAGTATTTTTCATCTCATTAACAGCAAATTCGATACATTCATTCCAATTAAATAGTATCAGTCCAAAACGAAGAGAGAGCGCTAAAAATTGCCTAAACCATGAAGTTTTTGCGCTGAAAGCTTCCCTATTTCGAAGATGCTCTGCCCAGCTGTGTTTGGTCCTCATGCAATTATTAAATAAATGACTATAATTTTCAATACAGTAAACAATTACTCCTAAATTGTTAGCTGTTGAGTGATTTTTATATAGAATGCTAAGCATCCTAGAGAATAGGAAACAAAAAACACCATTTTTAAATAAATCAGGATAGCGAGTGAGTATGTAATAAAAAGCGTCTCTATGATTGTAGAAATAAGCCAAATCTTTTATTTGCAATAATGTTTGATTAGGTAGTTGATTACAAGGCAAGTAGAAATTTGACGCTGGTTTCGTCCTCCCTCTCAAACAGTGTTCAATTTCTTTAAGGCAGATAAAATTTTGATTTTTTTGATAAGTTGAAAGTTTACCCCAAGCGTAATTTTTTATTAATAATAAACATAGTGTTTTTGGGTCACAAAGTTTATATTCTTTAGCAAAGTCGTATAATTGTTTTAATAACTTTTCATTTATATCAAATTCAATACAATCTTTAAAGAAATTTGAATAACTTAGTCCATTTCCGTTAGTTAATAAAGACTTTAAAGAGCTAATTTCTTCCTTTTCCAATTCGTCTTTGTTACAAATCATTTTCGCTATTATTTTTGATTTTGGAAATATCCTATGCTTTAGAAAGATTGTTATTAAATAATCATGACCCATTTTTGATGCAACTTCGATTAACCTTTGCAAAACTATTTGGTAACCTTCAATTTTTACAATTTCGTAAGTTTCTAAGAAATCTTCAACAAACTTTTGATGATCTTGTATTATTGCTAAAATTAATGGTGGTAGCAAATAATCTTCGTACCTCTTCCATGAAATCAACTTTAGCGTATCTTGCAGGGTTATAGTTGGAAGGTCAAGGACGTCTGATAATAAATCACTCATATCGCTAAACTTGGGTAGCGTGTAACATTGCCACAATTCTTTTTCACAAATTTTAAATGATCGGAAATCTCCATTCAATGAGTATTGAAGTAATAATGAGTAGAGAACAAAGTCATCGAAGTGTTGCAGCTCTTCGTCCAGATTTAATTCTTCAAGGGAGTTTAATAGCTTCTTTAGAGTATTCCTGTAGTCTTCCGTCATAATTGCGCTGTTTGCCATATGTTTACATGCACCACTACAAATGCTTTCTTGTGATTTTAATATGATTCGTATTAAAATCGTATTCGACTCTCAAAAACTGACTGTTAACTTAGTAGTAAACCTATATATACTATATATATATATATATATATCCAAATTTTCCCAGGCCTACTTATAACTTGCTCTTCTCTTCTCTGCTAGATATTATACAGGCCATGTAATTTTAGAACAGCTACTGCGTAATATATGTTGCATATCTAAAATTTCTATATATACATATATCTCTTCATAAGAAGTATTATCAATTCCATTTTAGCTGATATTGACCTTGATTTTAATTTTCTTTTTACTTTAATTAATGATTATTTATATGAGAAAAAGTAGTTAAAAGTTTATTTTAAAAAAATATTCTGCAATTTCAAATAGTTTGTCAAAACAAACATGATAATAGTATAATATTTTATGATATATGCTAATTACTTTAAGTGCATTAGCTATATTAAACTTCATACAAACAAAGTGTAAGATTTAAAGCAGTTTTTTTAAAGAATAATTCTTTCTTTCAGTTGTTTTGGATAACCATAACCGATAAAATGGTCCAATTAATAGAGAAGTAGTTAACCAAAAGAACCATTCGCTTAAGAAAGATATATTTCCACCTTCTCTGCCATCAACCAACATTCTTTCCACAAAACCTTCCAAAAGAACATCCTGTTAATAAATAAGAAAAATCAGTTACATTCTTTAGATCATTTATCATTGACAAATGCAAATGATGAATTACTGAAATGCACTAAAAACTAATCTATTCTCCTTATCAATGAATAAAAAGACTATGAAAGTTTGTAATTTGCTAAAATATTGTACTAAAATATAAATAAACGGTTATATAACGAGTTCTTTGTATATAAGTAATTTTAGGCTAAAAGTTTTTCATATATCAAAGGCTTATCTTAAGCCGATCTTTCAACTGGTCTATTTATCTATCAAAGCATAACGTATGTTTACCTCTTTAAAGTCGATATTTGCTGCCTTCTGGCGATTACGTTCGAAGAATTCCATCTTACTATTCATATAGTCATTTGATGCAACATTTCTACTTGAACCCAGTGAAAAAACTTTGGAGAAATTTACCTGATGAAAAAATTAGCACTATAAAAATAAATATAAACAAAACAAAACCAGAACAATTAAGAAAATTAGTAAAATTGCTTGATCTGATAAAATTAACGGTAAATAATAATCCCTTAATCATAATATTTGCATATCCAACAAACAGTACGCATGTAAAACAATAGATGGCGCTTCACGAGAAAAGTGAATATATTTATATCACAGAAGGGTATAATATTATTGATTGATCATATTTTTTTATAATTTTCAATTATGAGAACGAAAGGGTGAAATATGAGAGAATAGAAAAAAAGGGAGTGAGAAAGAGAGAGAGATAGAGAGAGAGAGAGAAAAAGAGAAAGAGTGGAGGAGAATAAAATACATTTATAAAATTGTCAATGGGCTTAACAACAATTATTTCCATATATGAAATAAATAATGAGCAAGTGAAAAAAATCATTAAGAGATTTTACAATCTCTTTAGATATAGTATATAATATTAATTGACAAAAAAGGTAATACACGTTGGCCATATTTAATCCAAACAGTATTCTAAACTTAATTACTTCATGTCTTAATAAATGTATAATAAAATATGACAGTAGTGAAAAATTATTTTTACATGTATTATTAAATTTATTATATTTACAATAATTTCTTTCCACCTCCACCTTCTTTTGCTACCTCTCAGTCACTCACTCAGTCACTCAGTCTTTCTCTTTTTCTGCTATCTCTTCCCTCTTCTCTCTCTCTCTCTCTCTTTTGCTCTATATTTATATATACTAATATATATGTATATATCTATTTCTGTCTCTGTCCCTCTCTCTCTCTCTCTCTCTCTCTCTCGTTTTCTGCTTTTCTCCCTTTTTCGAATGCTTTACTCTCGTTTTTCTTTATTCTTTGTGTTTTTTGTCTATGCATCCATCTCTAATTATACAATCAAGGCTCCTTTTCTCGTTAACAATTGGTTGCATTTAAGATTATTGAAAAGAAATTATTACCTATTATAACAGACTATGTTAAAATCTGCACCGAAAAGGTTCACAGTACAGTTTATATAAAAGTAACAAAGTACAGTACAACCTAGTTGAATGAATGGCGAATAATCAATAATAGATACTGGCTTGTCTTTCATTTTACCATCAATATCTTTCTTTGAGCTGTATTTCATGCTACTGAACTTAGAGAGATAGTAATTATTTATTAAAATGAACAAGTTAATATACCATATATAGTTTTTCAATGTGTCATACATGTATGTTCAATCAATAGCTGGAATTTTTAGACTAACCAATCTGGAAGCGCTTTGCTTTCTAAAAGCTTTTCTTTAAAAAGAGAAGAACAGTTTTCCTTCTTTTACCTTTAAGTTTCGATTTTATACCATAAATTACAAAGGCTTCTTTCTATTTGAGGAGTTCATATGGGAAGCTGCGTTGTGTTTTGCCCGTATTCCGTCATTCAAGAATAAAAAATTGTACTTTAGCAGTTTAACATCCATTTTAAGAGCAATTGATTTTTTTATAATATTCTTTTCTCCCTCGTTCCCTCTAGTAATTCTAAATGGAGTAATTTTCTATAATCTTTTAAACTACAGGCTCAAAAAGAATATGAAAAAAATACCTAAATGCCAAAACGTTACAGAACAAGAACAAAAACGTACAAGCATACTTGTTCAATGATAATTCATTTGTTTGATAATTTCTCTACATTTAAACTGCTTATCATAGTTTTCTAACAGGTTTTCTCTTCTTTCCGCCAGAAAAATATGTTACGTGACAGGTCGTAAAGCACTAATAAAGCAATTTTGTGACAAAACGGAAGGCGAGGCTAAAAGGCATTTTGACCGCATTTGACGCCTAGGAAGAAGAAAAAAGATAAAGAGTCTTACCCTGCAGATTGTTCCTTTGGCAAAAATTGGCGGATCTGAAGAAATATCCTTACAGCCTCTATGTTGATAAACCTCAGATTGAGAATGTCTTACAACATGTACAACGCTATAACTATCCTCAGTGTTAGTTAAATCGAAGCACTCCACATGCCATTTAATTGTCGGATTTGTCTTCTTCATGACCTCGATATAGACCAAAGCTTCTTCCTTCGTTCTATAATTGTGAATATAAGCCCTAGATTGGCTGGTGTGAGCTTCTATGAATATTAATATGTATGCAATCGCCAGAATGCAGGCGCAAGCTATCAGGGCAGTTTTATAAGAAGAAGTTTCTTTTAAGTTTGTAATGAGGAGGCCATTTTTTGTCCCTGTTGGTAATTCCTTAGGAGCCAGAGACTTGTAGTAGCATATTGAGAAATGTATCACCAAAATTATGCAAATTAAGGCCGTTATGTGGGCGAATGCTGACATGCATACTTTGCAGAAAGAACCTGTACATGATACACGAGAAGAATGTTCATCTTCTTCAATATCTTGATCTTCTTTCTGGAGAAAAAGAAACAACTGAAGGTTTTGAGATATTTTTGTAAATACCGAGAAAGAATAGATAAAATTATCCAAATAATGACAAAGTTCTCATCTTATTTCCCTTCTAATATAAAGCTTAATAACCAAGTTTTAATTTATTAAGACAAAATAGCTTATAATAATAGAATATAGGATCGAATAAAAACTCTCTATCCTCTTTTCCTTGCCTCGATACTCTGTAAAATCTCAATGACTAATGGGAAAAAACCTGATTAAAGCAAAATTACTTTCTTGCTATTATAAAGACATTGTCCACCAAACATTTGCTATTAGGAGGTTAAATATCACTATAATTTCTGTATTAGTTTGTTTATTTGTTTGATAATTATGTCTATATATATATATATCATAAAGAAGAGGTGAGTGAAACGGGAGAATGGAAGAGAGAGAGAGAAAGACAGAGAGAGACAGAAACTATAGCATATGTATAAGCTTGAAATAATTACCAGTAAGAAAGACGTATGTATGGGCGTTTCTTGCCTCCTAATTCTTCGCTGGCCTATATTTAGCAAATCGACGCTTAAATCTTTAGCTGGAATGGAAGAAGGTTTGGTTTGGTAGCTAGGTGGTACCATAAGATCTACCCAAGACTGATTATCCCTATTAGCTTTAGTCATATTAGCGTAACTCGGAGGTAACATATCCTCACTCCAATACTCATCATCAATGCTAGTTGAGGGGGTTTTTCTCCACGATAGCTTCCGTTTTAAATGAGAAGACCATTTAGCCGATGTAGCCGGTGTAGTGGCAATTGAATCTTGAGTGATAGTTGTCATATTTTCAGTAGAACTAGAAGCACTAGGAATACTGGGAATTAGCATTTGATTTCCGGGTAAAACTCTGTCTTGTAATAGATATTCTCGCATAAATTCTTCTTGCAAAGCGCTCATTTGAGGTCTAAGCCACAATCGAAAGGATACTTATATGAATTGTTTTTATTGAGGCAAGGAAAGCGTTTTTCCTTGTTATTCTGTACTTCACAGCCCTACTTAGATGTGTTATTTCGTGGTATTAATTTTTTTTATCACGCCATCCACGAAATACTTGCACCGACGAAATTCTAGTCGATAAATCATTTTTTTTTAAATCTCATAATTTTTCTATTTATAATTCATTAGCAAGGTATTATAGATGTCAAATACCTATCCATTATTTCCATTTTTAAAATAAATAAAGCATTCAGCTTAGCAACGGTATTTAGGTCTACTTTTGTTACTTTCCTCCCTCACCATTAACAATATTTCCCTTATGCTACGATCGTCTTTCCCTGAGAGATTTTAGCTAAAATTACAAACTGGTAAAAGTTATTACAAAATTCATCAGCCTAAAATATTCGGCGTCGATAAACGTCAATAGTTTTGCAGTTGGGTTAAATTTTTTTGAATACTTTTTATGAAGTTTTAAAAAGAGAGCGTTTATAATTAAAAACAAAATTTAAGAGAAACTGAAAAAAGAGCAAATCAAAGAGGCAGAGATAGAGATAGAGAAAGAAAGAAAGAGAGAGAGAGAAAATGAGAGGAAAAAAGAGTGAGAGAAAGTAAATAAGAGATTGCGAGAGAAAAGGATTTAATTCAATCAACGTTCGAAATATATCACTGTAGAAAGTGGGTGTGGTTGAGAATTGATTAAAATGTTTTCAGTTCATCTTATGGAATAATTGGGAGGGAATAAATAAAATTCTTTAGGTTCATTGGTAAACCTCTTTGACTTGCTATTATAATTCTGTTCATAATAATCCTTTCGATTGTACCTATGGCGAGTTGGTGGTGTTAGTGATTCTAAAATATTTTGACTCGTGCGGGCATCAGGAACGTCTACAGATCTTCCTTTAAACCTTTTACCGGGATAGAGAACATTCAATCCTGGTGGTAGGTTTGCTGGATAGGGTATAACTGGATTTGCATTGTAGGTCATTGATGTAGAAGTTTCCGGAATGGTAAACTGACGCTTTGGGACGCCTCCGGCCGCTAATGTCGAATAATAAGCCGGATGACGGCGAATGAATGTTGCTTGTCTCTGATTATGCATTCTCGAGTAAGACTGCAATAATCCACGATTTCTATATTGCTGTAACCAGACCGGATCATAAGGAGGTGGCGGTTCTGATCTGCAAATACATAACGGAAAAATGAGAAGATATAAATCAACAATGACTCTAATAAACTAAAAAGCAATGCAGGAGGAAAAGAAATACGACGATCGTAGCCTATTTATATTATATATAAACAGTGACCCTCAGTTATATAAAATGTCTTTGCTAGTAATAAAACTCTTCTAATGTTTTCCTCTCTTTTTTTTTATATAAATGACTAATGTTTTCATTCTTTTTTATTTTCCAAAAGCACTCTAAGAAAGCAGGAATAATGACAATTTTTATTCCCTTGAAAATTAATACATAATCATTCATTCCCTTGACAAATTTCTGATGCAAGTTGCAATTAAGAACGCATGGATATTAACAAAGTAACTAGATAACTCTGTATAGTAATTGTGAATGAAACTGATAAAGACAATAATATATATTATTGTATATACAGTATACTGTTTATATTCTGGATATATATACATTACATATCATTTCCTATACAATTTATGGGTTTTATTTTTGTAAATTGTCATAAAAAATCAATGAATTAAATATTAATTTATGCAACCTTCGATAATTATTCAGCAAAACTGTAAATTAATAATATTCTGCTGTAAATTGTCAGTAATAAATTTATATTTGTATACAAATATAGTATCAAGATATTGTTTGTTATATTTTCATACTGCAGCTTTTTATATACTACGCTATATCTATGGGTTGGCTAAATTATATATAGTATATAAGAGAAGGGAACTTTGCCCTTCTTCTAAATCAATATGGTTGGTATTTCGCAGAAAAAAGGAAATGAAGAGTAGGACAGAGTGCTTTTGTCATTTTGCCCCTCTACTCTTATCTAAATAGGCGCATAAACAAATATATTTTTATATCTAATAAATGTACTATCTAAATTTTTGACAATTGTTTTGACTTTTAAAAACTGAAGAAAGTAGACGCTTTATACTTAATGTACATAAAAATAATATCTATTCAAATGTAATTCTATGGGACAATGTTACATTTATCAAACTTGAAGATTATTTAAGAAATTCATTAAATAGATGGAAAGAAAAGGAAACCTCTATAAAACAAAGAGAAAAAAGAAGTAGAGTAAAAATATATAACCGATTAAGAATAACTTATTGTATAAATTAGGAACAATTGGTTTTATTTTCTAATTCATCGAAGTAGAATACTTATTGAGTTAATTGGTTAACGGAATTCTTTCCGGTATAAGCTGAGTAAATAAACTGTGACCGTAAGTAATAAGGCCTTTTTTTTGTTGTATAATAAATTGCTATCAACCATACAAATAGAAGACATAAGATGACAAAAAAAATTATAGTTTTAGTTAAAAGGGTTTTCTTACGTTAGAGCGGATAGTTGACGGCCATAATTGCTAATGCTTGTATTAAACAAGTTTGTTTATAAATTTTGTAAACAGTACTAATGCAATATCCAATAATGCGCTTCTAAACGGATGCAATGAAAAGTTGACCTTTTGTTCGTTTCTTTTAGTGTTTAAAACTTGATTTTAGGTTGGAAATGAAAGCTATAAACTAGCTAACGTGTTTCAAATTTATTGATTTAATACCAAATAATAATTTTACATCTGTAATGTAGACTACTATAGGTTAAAGTATGTTCCATGAAAGTAACATCGGCATCAATTAAGTAAGTACCTGACCATTGACGTATGACTAGCTTTTTACTTAACTGAAATAACTTGCTTTATCGCCGGGGAATTAGATTCTCGTCTAAATTTTTAAGCCTTTTTCTACGTTGGAATTTTCATGTTAACTATTGGAAAAAGGATGATAAAAGTTGAAGCAGCTATAACTATGAAAAGAAAAAGACTAAATGAGAAATGAGCATATAAAGAAGCAACAATAGTTACATCTATGGAAGGTGAGAACCAAAGGAGTAAAAGAACAAGGAAAAGCGAGAGAGAGAGAGAGAGGGGGGAAAAGTTGAAGCGGGTACTTAAATAGATTAAGTTAAGATCAAAGTCTTTACCGCTTCCATTATAGAGGAAAGTAGTATGAGTAAACAATAAAATTAATCGGGAGAATTTAATAAAAAAGGCAGAAAGAAAAGACTTTTTTGATGAGTATCTATTTTAATAAAGGATAAAAATAGAACGAAAAAAGTGTTACAATGGAAAGGAGATTCATTTCATCTAGAGAATTTTGGTTCCTAAGCAAACTAGCCTGTTTGACTGCAGTTTTGCCTAATAAACCTAGTTTATCCGTCTAGACACCTCTAATGAGCGTCGATTTTTTTTTAGGCAAATTCATATGAAAAAAATTTCGATTATCGTTTCTTTGCTGGAAACTCGTTATTTTTTCTATTATAATAAGTTGATTAATTTTTGTGATTAAGCTTAAAAAATAGTAATTTTTTTGCCTTATTAATAATAGAAAATCTCTTAATTGGCGCAGTTTTTACCCTGGATTGCTAAAGTAGCGGAAGAAATGACATACTCAGATTCTGTATGATTTGAATTCCTGAGTATTTCGTTCCCATACTAAGGCTAGTGCTCACTTGCAGAATAAACTAAACAAATTACTTTTATTTACAACCATCTGGGCAATAATGAAATATGTTTTTTCGATAATCCTGTCAACTAACAGTCTTATTCGTTTCATATTTCGTATTTAGTCATTTTCTTACTTGATTTTATAGAGGAAAAATATTACTAGAAACAAAATTAAGAAAGAAATCTCTTTAGTATTTAGATCACGCTCTTCAAAAAGACTTTGATAAGAAAAGGCATAAATAAATACATACAAAATCTTAAATTTTGTCTAAAAAGATATCCTTTGTTCATTAAATTACATCCTTTCACTAAAACGTAAAGTGTTTAGCGATGAAATATTCCCTGGTTGCTCTACTCTCATTCTCTTTCCTCTCAATCCACCTTCTCTTTTCTCTTAAAGTCTCTGTTTACTTACAGTTATTATAGCTAATCTATTAACTTACCAAGCAATAAATGAAAGCTTATATAAATAATTGTCCGATTTCTGTAATCTATAGGTGAAATAGTGATATTTTCAGTCGTATATAGATAATATTTTCAATGAGTTTGTCTGCAGGTTGACATTATTCTACTATGGGATGATGAATGGCTATATTCAGTTTGCATTGCAAATGACAATTGTGAATTTGTATAGATTATTTTACGGTAAAAAAAATAACAAAACTCAACATGGAACTGCCCTCATCATTTTTTAAATTCATCGTTTTGAATGAAAATTTTATGTAGATATTCATTAGTTTTAATGGAAACACAATTCAATGTAACATAGTACAAAGATATGATATATGTATATATCTATATCTATATATATTTAATCCTTCTTTATAAACTTTATTACTAATTATCATCATTTTATTTTCAATTTGAAAAATAGCTTTTTTCCCATCAGAATGGGATATTATCCTCTCTCTCTCTCTCTTTCTCAATTCAGAGTACTACGTTATTTTTATTAGACTTAAAAACTATTTCTAAAAGTTATACATTTAATACTTTTTAATAGTTGTTGATGATGATCTAAAGTCGTCAGCTTCCGTATTCGAAGCATCTCTCGAGAGACACTGGTCGTTTGCTGTCTTGTTTTCCTTATTGAGACTAAATTGTGTCCATAGAAAAAAAATGACTTACTTTTGCTGATAGAACGCCATATGTGTCTATTGCAGTGGCGCGCAAATGAATAATTGCTACAGTAAAGCGCACTTCATAATCTACATATTCATGAGATAGGACCATATACAGCTTTCGAACCGTTTTTACATAAAACATGACGGAGGGATAAAAGGGATGAATTCGAGTCACGTCGTCTTTATATCGATCTAGCTATTGCGCCATATTTCAAGAGAGTAATATCTGATTTTTTTTTCACTTTAATTCAAATAGAATTCATTAATACTCATTTTTTAAATATTAAATCAATGCTGTATTCCGTAAATAATTGCCCTAATCTTAGAAACACAAATTTGATTAAATTGGATTTTTTAAAATACTTTTATATATAGAAAAAATAATTGTTAGAGAGATAGACAAGGAGAGAAAATTTAGAAATATTCTAGCGTAAATACTTTGCTACTTTTTACTTTCATCTTTAAATAATAATCGATACAATTGGTAAAGAAAAATTTATTTAACAAGTTAGAAAAACCCTAAGAAATAGCCAGGAACTAAGTTCAAGAGTTAAACGTTCTTTTTTCCTCTCCTCTCTGCCACTTATGTTCTTAGACTAATAAGTAAGGGTACTCTTAGTTATTTCTGATAAAACAAAAGTCTAAATCTTATAAGAAAAAGGTCACAGTCTCGGATGAATAGCTTTAAAAATATGAAAAGGTAAAATATCAAGTACGTAAATAATGTTGAAATGTAGAGAAATTTTATATTATTAAATATATTGTATATTTTAATAAGAATAATTGATATAATATGCAATAAGCTCTGTCGACTTTTAAATTAATTTTGAAGAAAAACATCTTTTATGGGAAAGAATACAATTGCCTTTTATTAATTCAGTAGACTGATGTCTTAGTTAAAAAATAATGCTTTTTACATAACAAAAGGGAAGTGGAATATTATTAAAAGAAACATTTGGTATAAAATATTTTTTACAAGATAATAGTATAACAAAGGTTAAAGCGCGTACAGATTAATGTTTTGGTCATGTGTTAAAAGCTGATTTTGTAAAGTCAATAAATAAGCTACTTCAAAGTTTATCCTAATTTACATCGAAAATATTTGCTAAAGTCACGATGATACAACATAGACAAAACTAAGATCTTTCTCTTCTCCTTTCTCGCTGTATATATATATATATATATATATATATCTATATACTGTATATTGTACATAAATTTATATATTAGTATATATTATATGTAGATAAACAGTATATACGTATCTGTTCCTCGCTCACATC